CCATTGCTCGTTGCTTCGTCGACAACTATGATCAATGTGCAGCAGCGGTAACAGGAAGAAAGCAAAAGCATCACCGGATTACCTGCAAGCCCAAAGCTAGTATACTCATTCACTGTGTACATAATTTTTGATGAGTTACGGAAGCATAGAACCTCCAATGAAGAACCTCTCTTATCCAGAATTAAATGGTTTCCTTCAACAAAACCGCTCTTGTCAGTGCAAGTCCATAATCTCCAACCTTGATTGCTTACACTTCCAATAGCACCATGCTGATCTCGAGCCAGTAAGCCAAGATGAAGAGAACGAGGCATCAGTTGCCCCGCACCTCTTGTGTGTTTCCGTACTATGCTCAGTTCTGAGGTGCGGGTGGAATTTGGTGCACAGCAGCAAAGGTGCTCGGACAAGCAAGTCTCAACACTAACACGTAGTGTACACAAAGATGTTTTAAATACATGTAAGTAAATTGTTAGGAGGCATACCAAACGCGAGAAATATACCTAAAAAACTACAGCATAGAAGCCTGGCAAGCCACCCATTCCATCAACATAGTACAGCAGCTAAGCAGTTGGTGTTCAGCAGCTAAGCAGTTGGTGTTTCTTGGTTAATTATTCCCGTAAAAGAGGCTAGTGTCTATTATGTAAAAAAACGAAGAAAACAAATTAAAGTACGTACTGTCCCAGGAGTTTGAATTCTCTACCAGAGCGTTGCTATCATGTGATAGCAGCAGCTCGGCACACTTCCGTCGTCCTAGCGTCACCGCAAGCATGAGTGGCGTTCGGCCATGGGGATCTTGGTCTTCGATGCATGCTTTCCCCTAGCCAACAAGCAGTACATGCAGACAAGACAGACATCGATGATGAGATCTTCTAGTCTACTGTACACAAAGAGCGTTGCAGAGACACACAATGTAAACCCCAGGAAAGAGGATGGCACCCCACAACGTTATAGAGAGATAGATCAGCATGTAGCCAATCGTAGTGTACCGCTAGGTGTATGGACAGATTGGACTGAAGCACATCAATCCAAGTAGTTTATCCCATGGCCACGATAGGAAACCATGGTTCCAGCCAATCAGTATCGGATCTGAACGGGAAATATGTAGAGCGATATCCCCCGCTGGGGTAAAACAATATTCCACGCTGGGGTCACGAATATTCCCCGGGTCATGCCAACGAGTAAATAAGGGATATTTTAGTGTTGGCCACGCTCTATTTGGGACAGTACATGGGATAAATGGATTATACCATTCGTACTCTGTGTATACCGTGCCCCTTATATTTTCCCTCGTGCTAACCCGCTCGTGAAAATATTCGGCGGTATACCGGTATACAGGTACCCCCTCATACTCATGGTATAATCCATACATATTGCAGTGGTGATCGGTTGACAGCATGTCACTAGGCAGAGGACTCACCGTGTTGAAAACAGTACATAAACTATATTGCAGTTGGTGTATAAACACCACACCAAGGACCATTTGACGCCCATCGCCAGAGGTGATGCTACAGCAGAAGCCATAGCAACTTGTGCTGGGATTGCACCATTCAACAGCTTGCAAGGCTGAAGAAATGACCGCCACTATTCAGCCTGGTCTACACCACAACACCACACACACACACACACCTTTGGACCTTTGGAAGCCCATCGCCGAAGGCAATGATAGTTACACACACACACTCACGCACACACCACCACCACCACCACCACCACCACCACCACACACACACACACACACACACACGCACACACTTGGATGCGACCATGGAGACAATTTAGCCAAAAGAATATAATGCGGGGAGGAGGGAGAAGCCATGTAAGGAACCATGTCCTCTAAGCCCTATATATCGATAGGTTGCTGTGCATGCAACATAGCAAAATGTTCAACATTATCTGCACACCGGCATACAATTGTCGCTGGTATCAGCATTTCCACAGATCAGATGTGGTAAACTAAACTATTACATCATTTTTATTGTATTAGATAATCCAATACTAGCACAGTACTAGCACCAGATATACTAGATAATCCAATACTAGTACAGCACCAGTACTTGATAAACCTTGTTATAGTTCACACATGTTGTTGGTTTGACAGCATGAAATAAGGTGGAGGACACCGTGTTCGGAAACAGTGATCTTACTACAACCTTCCACGGTTGGTAGAGCCCCGGTCCGTTGGGACCATCTGAATCATGGGTGTTGAACCCGGTTCTGACCCTCATTATGCTAGGGGAGTTTACAATTCAGATTAGAATAGCTACTTTTATTTATGACTATCAGGATGACATCCAGGAGCGATCAAGGAATACACGACTGACGTTAGCAGAAGTTTAAAAACTCCCCTAGCATAATGAGGGTCAGAACCGGGTTCAACACCCATATGGTTCAGATGGTCCCAACGGACCGGGGCTCTACCAACCGTGGATGGTTGCAGTAAGATCACTGTTTCCGAACACGGCGTCCTCCACCTTGTTTCATGCTGTCAAACCAACAACATCATTTTTATTATAGCAATCAGCAGAATCAGCGAAGCGGACATTGGACGTAGTAATCAACAAGAATAAAATATGGATAATAAAACTTCCTTCTTGCTTCGCTGATTCTGCTGATTGCTATAATAAAGTTATTGTCTCCGCGCTGCTTATTCGTATTAGTACATCATTGTGATCAACTTGACTAGGTTTCCAGGAGTAATATTTTGAGCTTTCTATGAGCATAGATGGACAATTTGCTTTAACGTGTATTCGCCCTGCCACCGAGTAAACGTGTTTATCAGTGCAGTATCTCTCACCTCACTGGTTCCAAGGTGACTTTCCAATTCAGCATAGTTATCATTCCACACAAGGCAATGTAGTGGGTATTTCCTCTGCGCTGCCATTTTTCTCACAATCAAGACACGCCTGGGCTGTGGAGGTCACCAATACTACTCAAGCAATGAAAAAGTCACCAACAGCTGCACACCCTATTCAAACTCTTCTTGTCTTTGGATTTACCAGTCACCTGGTGGCGGCGAAGGTATCATAAAAGATATTGCATATACTCAGCAGTGCACACAAAGACGATTTTCATTGGCAAGACTCACTGAACGTTTCTCTCATCGACTCAACACGACAAACAAACAATACTGTGCTTGAATAACTACCCGGCGCACAAGTTATACAGCGAAGTCGAGCATGTGTGACAGCAAAGACGCCACGCTTTCACGAGTTCAGACTTTCCTCATGATTTTGACGTTTCCGTGTGTTGAGAGCTTGTAGTTGTACGAAAATTCGAAAATTTAATGTGATCTGTAGCCTGTATACCAGTGGTATACTGTACTGTAGACCTACTGAGTACTGTCTGTCTGTCGATGTCAGCTAGCAGCCTATGTGCCCTTTTGTAGGTAACCTGTGCAAGTCAGTGCAGTGTTTTATTTCGATCTGACATGATTGTCAGGACTGTTTCCGCCCAGCCATGTCGGGTGTGTGTACGTGTGGCATGTGGCTGTGTATCACCACTATCAAGCCTTTCAAATTCAAGGCCAAAAGAGATGAAAATAGAAAAGAAGCCTCTATCATTATCATCAAGAGTACATAAACCAGAGTGTGCAACTGTGCATATCAGATCTGAAACAGCGCAGTTCGTGCACTACGTCACCCTGATGAGATCAGCCAAGCCGCGACTTGCGTAGAGCTCAAATTTTCATGTTTCATAGCCCGGAAATCAGCCAAGTTTGCTTGATTTTAGACGTCCTGTTTCAGGATTTCGGTGTTTTGTGTGACTGTGTACGCTGCGTACATCCACCGACAAGTAAAGTCACCAGGCTATCCGTCTCAAAAAACCGAAATCAGGACAAACTCAGTGAACTGCACCACCACGACTGGTTACGCAACTTTTCACCGTACCTGTGGCTTACCATGCCGTCAGAAATGACGTAGTGCACGAATTACGCTCCCACGGCCACAGGAACCATCCCGAGTTGCACACTCTGGTTTATGTACTCTTGTTATCATCAGTGATTTATGAAAAAGTATTGGAAACAGTTCTTTGCAAATCAATCCATGGCATAGGCGCCCTAGGCGTAGGCATAGATGGGTCAGGACCTATGTGCGAAGGTCTCAAGTGCGAACGACAATGCACCGTCCGCGTCCGTAGAGTCTCAAACTCAAAGTCCCTCTGCATGCATGCAGTCCGCACGTTACTTGTGTCAGTTGTGGTAGATCTACGAGTCGTACTCGTACATGCATGTGACCAAGAGTACATGAAAAGAATGGTTTTCATGTAGAGGCGACGGTTTCAAATAGGAAATAGGTTGCAAACCGGAACGGACTCAATATTCACTTTCTCTCTTGGTATTTTGATTAGAAAACATATGTCACAGTGAGACTACGATGTGTTATACTCGAGCCAAAATTTCATGGCTCTGCGATGACCAGAAGCGCCATATCAAGCAGGTGAGTTTTTGACGTGTTGCTTCGCACTGCGACTTGAGTTTTACGACTTTCGAAAAATCAACTTCTTGTCGCAGGTAAACAGCGGCTCGCCTCTCGACAATAAAGCACCGCATACCAATCAAAACTAATGGAAGCACACACAAGGCTTATTGTTACTCTGTACTGGCCGTCGTGGAGCGATAGCAATTACCTAATTTCAGACCCAGAGTGAATTTGACGGGCACTCTAAAACGTGTCCGGTTTGGAGCCACCTCTGATTTGAACTTTTTTGAAGCGAAAAATTGGGCAACTTGGAGGCAATGGGTCAACACAAAGGAGTGGCTCAGTTCGATTGACTCTGGCCCCAGAGCAAACTTCAACATGCCAGTTTCCTTCCACAAACATATTTCGAGTGAAAAATCAACGTTGATGATCGTTTTGGGTCTATACAAATTTGGCTGTCAAAACGTTCCGGTATCGAGCCGTCTCCTCTACAATAGATCTACTCTTGATGTGACCATGGTGACGTGACGTGACATGACACGATCGCTAGATTTTTTTTATCGAGATACCGTTTCGACAATCTGGCATTGATGTTTTCATCAAATCTGTTCAAGTGATTTGATTTCCAATCTTCCTGGCTTTGTTTCTACTCAATAAGACAAGTTGATGGGGCTAGGCTTGATACTAGTCCTGTAGCCATCACCGACACGGTGTCCTCTTAGATTAGGAGCGAAGCTGGACGTTGAGTTTCTCAGAGAAAAACAGAAATAGGTTTTTTCCATTTATTTTAGTGTTTTGCTAACGATGTACTAGTGGAAATGGCGTCCACCGCACCAGCAGTAAACAGTGGGATAGCAGAGGGTACGGATGAGAAGGATGCACCAGGAAGCTCGCATTTCGATGCCCTCGTCACTGAACTTGAATCTAGCGAAGGCCAACTGGGTGCAACATTGAGGTGAGAACGATCAAACTGTTGAAGTTTATTCTCAGCATTGCAGCTGGAAAAATGTTCTTGTTACATGTATTTGAATTATAAGTCAGATCTTCATGGGTTTTCAATGCTCCTCTTCTCAGTTGATGCACTTTGGCTGTAATATTGTGGTGTCTGTTGTACATGTACCGGTACTGTGTGTAGAGATCAGATAATGTCATTGTACAAGTACTGTAGCACACCAAGACTCTGCAACTAACTTTGCAAGAGTATGTACATAGGCTCTATGGGTTTACTTGTACATGTAAACAAGTACCGGTACTCATGATCAACCTGCAGTCTACAAGTGGGTTGTGCATCTACATGGACCTGCAGCTGCACCTGCATCCAGCAAGTACAGTGAAACTGTAGTCTATATACGTACCCCAAAGGGACATGAACTCTGTACTGTACAGCAGAGGCACTGTATACTCGTATCGAAGATGCCAATGGCTGGACACAAGAGTCCATATAAACCAAGAGTATGCACCTGGCGGGCTGTGATCCCTTTTCCATGTGCCAGGTGATGTGCGGCGCGCTGCCTTCATTACAAGATGCAGAACTACATCCGCACAGTGCAGAAAATCAAATACCACACTTTCACTGTGGGTGGAAACCAACTGTCGTACATAACTGAAGGTCACGCACCCATAATTTAGAGATATCTTCAGTGCTGAAGTGAATCATGGAAAATCAGTTGTGTTGGTGCGAGATACATGTACAGTGGAACCTGTCTAAGACGACGTTCGAAATGCGATCTCTGTTACCAGGTGGTCTCCTTATTTAGGGTCGTTTGAGTGGAAATATCCCTTGGTCCTGGTTGCAGTGGTCTTCTGGAACAGGTGGTCACCTCCGAGTGGTCTGCTATACATGTCTTACTGTATGGTATGGTGGGTTTGAGTGCACGAATACTAGTACACGGCGTGATACAGGCAAGTTACGAAATGAAGGCAGCGCGCCACGCATTCATCCCTAACCACATCTGCACACTCTTGGTTATGGACTCCTGCTGGAGTAGAATTAGGCTGGGTCCTAAATGAAGAACTTTATAGCCTATGGTATGACTACGTACATTGTATGACATCCAGTGTACTGTTTACACCGTAGTCTCGTTGTACCTGTGTTTGGACTTTACCTCTAATCTGAACATGCACCGACACTGGCAACACTGGCAACAGGTACCGTAAAGTACCTCGAGAGCGCCCCGCCTTGATTTTACAGCCAGGGAAAGGAAAACTGTATGGCACTGGTGCAACTAAGTTTGTACGGTGCGAGAACCTTAGCGTGCTATGGTCACCCTTACAGCTGTATTTTGTCTTTATGTGGAGCTCGCGTCCGCTCGAAGGTAAATTGAGTACGGATTGACTGCACAACGTGCAATGTGTGTACACGTACAAGGTATGTGACTCGTATGCCCTACAAACTGGACACCGCCTCCGCAGCACAGCCACAAAAGGACGAGATGGTGGGGCGCTCTCGCGGTACTATACAGTGTATCCGAGATGATCATTGTGTGGCGGTGTTCCACTCTGACGTTACTTGCCATTGCTTATCCTGACATCAACACCTCATAAGCACAGTGAGAGTACTGGCCGTTGTGGACACAGTGGGGGTGTTGCCTTGTGTTAACACTTGGCCTACCTCCAGTAGATACCCAGCGGTAGACGTGGCGAAAGCACTGGAGGCCCATGCACTGTTACAAATATGAGATGACTGACATGTGTACTACTGTAACGTACACTGTACATCTTTGGGTTGAACTGTGCCCCCAAAAGTTTAGCCTTAAGACCAAATGGGTACTACTGTATAACACCTTTATTTCGGTGTAATTTAAATTTCGGTAACTTCGGTACTGGTCCTGGATCACCTAATTTAACATTACACCTAAATTTTCCGAAATACCAAAAATATGTAAAAATCATGAAAATCAGTGTCAAATTAAAAAATCAACTTGTATATGTACTGGTATACCGGTAGTACATTGTACATACATAACATGTACCGGTATACATAATATTATGTGGAGCCTTTTGGCCTTGGCAGAGATTATTTGTGCAAGAGCTTTTTTTTTTTTTTTTTTTTTTGGTGCCATGCATACCGAATTTATCCTTACACCCAAAGGTCAGGGGTTGGCTTTTACCGAAATTTTACAACACCGAAAATAAGGTGATATACAGTATATGTTGGGTTTTTTCTTTTTTTCTACAAAATCCACATATCTCCAGACACTGGTAGAAGTTGAACATTTAGAATCAAGCAGCAGGGCGCGTGAGGCTAGATGTAGTTAATGTATCCTTACACGCTGTTTGGGTGTATGACTCTTACACTGTTTGAAAAGTATGGCCTGAACATCGGAGTATGCGGCTCTGAGCACTACTTTTGCATGCTGCTTAGCTGTGTGTTGTTTAGTGCTACTTGAATGTGTACTGTTGTGTTCTGTCTTGCTATGCCTGCATTCTTTTAGAGCTGTGTACGATGAGTCCAAACAGGGAGCTTTCCTTCAGCACCTGGAGGCTCGCATTCGACAGCATGACAAGGACATTGAGCGCATGTGTAACCATCACTATCAGGGATTCATCGAATCTGTCAATGAGCTCTTGAAAGTCGGCTCTGATGCGCGCAAACTAAAAGTAAGTGGCAATGCCGGTAGTCCTAATCTGTCGAGTACTTTTTTTCTACTTGACAATGCTGTGGTGATTGCTCCAACACATCTTGCCTGTATGAAACTATGCATCACTAGTACTTGCATATCTGTACTTTGTGCACCGTTTGTCCACCTGGTGTTCGTGTGCACTACTCGACTGCAGTACACCTTGTTGTTGGTGTGTTATGGCCGTTTCGAGACTCGTTGCTGGCTTACATGTATTTCACTTGAAGCATTCCTGTGAGTTATGTTTTGCCATGGGTGTGGTCTTGTGTGTTGTCTTGTGTGTTGTCTTGTGTGTTGTCTTGTGTGTTGTCTTGTGTGTTGTCTTGTGTGTTGTCTTGTGTGTTGTCTTGTGTTGGTATGGATGTAACTGTACATGTACGTGCACCTTTGTGTTTCCCTGCGTATTCTCAGGTGAAAATTTTGTCGGCCAACGATGATTTCCAAGAAGCAGGTAGTAAAGTAAGTGGACGTCACTTGGGGCACTGCTGTTATTATTCCATACCTACATGTACACCCTGGTATCACAGGCATGGTGGTGGCCTGGCACATGCGAAACGTCCTAAGCTGGTTGTGTTTCTCAATACAATTGTATAGCCGGTGGTAACGCAAACATGCGAACTTTACTACAACGCGTACACGTCCTGTGTGAAATCATGGTTTGTTACGGTTAGGGGCCTTAATTGACGTGATTTAGCGCGGGCGTGCAAAGGGTACATGTACGGCAGGGTCTGGCCTCTCGTACTTTTCCTATGTACAGTCCCGTCTGTGTGAACCGTCAAGCAAACAGTACACTATGTGTCCACTTTCAGGGGCGGGGGGCTGGGAATGTTTAGGTGTTGTACTTCTGCGTTAAGTGATGCCAATTATGGATGTATCCTCACAGTTCCTGTGTAAGTGTGAACGTATTGAAACATTACAACAGAGACCTGAAAATGTTGGTGTAATTTATAATGAGATACAAGCTCATACTTCAGTACAACTCATAATAGGGGAAATGTGGTTGTCTTTTTTCCGTGTGGTCTGATATTCTCCCCCTGGTGTTTTTTTGCATGTTTGGTGTTGATCTTCTCAGCTGGTCAAGAATGGCGATGAGCTAATTGCTTTGCGCATCATCCAGCGTAATATTGCAGCTGCGATGGAGAGCTTGACATTCTGTCGACCCGGTGAGTCCGCAACATCTAACACTGCGTGTATGGTTATGAAGTTATAAACACAACATTAGTCACGTGTTGATGTTAGTGCGTGCACGTGTTCAGCTTTGCTTACATTTATTATTAATTTTGTTGTTGTTGTTGTTGACTTTTATTTTTACTTCACCAATTGCACAGGCATGATTGCCTTCTCACAGAAAGATGAATTTGCAAGTCTTTGTCTTTGCCTCCCCTTTTTCTCTTGCTGCAGTTTTGGAGCTCTATGCCAAGCTGAGAGAGCAGATGAAAGAGAGAAGGTAGGAATTCTAGTTTGCTAGTGTGCTGCATCGCACATGTAGCACTTGCAAGTCTGAGTGTCAGCCCAGGACAGATTAGCGCTTGGGACCTTGCCGTGGTTGAGGTGCATCTCTCGACCTCACCCAGCACTGAAGTGTTAGCAGGCTTGCCTGTGTGTGCATGCAATGTGTCTCGCACTATGCTTGACGTGTGGCCAGTGGCACTGTACCTACTCTCACATAGATTTTCAAGCATATTCAGTAGCTTTCACGTTGTTCACGATTTTCAAGCATATTCAGTAGCTTTCACGTTGTTCACGATCTTCAAGCATATTCAGTAGCTTTCACGTTGTTCACGATCTTCAAGCATATTCAGTAGCTTTCACGTTGTTCACGATTTTCAAGCATATTCAGTAGCTTTCACGCTGTTCACGTGGACATTCCATGGACTCCATGCTGAATTGGTGTCGGAGACGATCTACCATCATGAGCTGAACGATACCGACAACTTGAATAGTTGAACAGAGCCCTCTTGTGTCATACTTTGTACATATGTATGTGTGCATACAGTACTAGTACATTGTACATGCATTGCCATGTTTGCACACTGTGCACTATTCAGGTACTATCCTGCTCTGAAGACTTTGGAGCAGCTGGAACACACATACCTACCTCGTGTCAGCCGCTACACCATCAATCAAATGATGAAAGCCCGTATTCCAAAGCTTCGGGATAGCATCAAGGAGGCATCTATGACAGATCTGCGGGTGAGGAGAAACGGCCAGTGGAGGGGAAGGGAGAGGGGAGGGGTGCAAACATGCACACACAGCTGTTTAAGATGTTTTCATTATCCAATTGAGAGGGATGGGGATGGTGGGGTGGGGGGTAGCGAATGGCATCCACGTACATGTCTTGTGCTACGCATTCATTGGCCTCTACCGTGCTTCCTTCACTTAGTGTGTATTGACATTGTGATTGTGCTAGGGTTTTCTTCATACCATTCTAGTAGTGGAGGTTATAGTTGGAGTAAATTTCTCATTTTCTTCTCTCGGCTACAGCATTTCTTAGAAGAGGTACGGTCGAAATCAGAGAGCATCGGCAAGCTGGCCATGCAACAGGTATGCCCTGCATATACTTGTATGTTTCTTTGGAACTGCTCCCTTTCATGTGTTTTATGAGCCTATACTCATAAGGAGTACTTAGGCTTTGAAAATGCTGATGTGCTCATATGTCGTATCCCCTGCTGTTGCTGTCATCCACTCCAGTGGGCATTCGTTATGCTCTAAATGTGGAATGGGTCGCATGCATTTTAATTTCGTAACACGTTGCACTAGTAGTTTGTAAGTTGACGTACCCTATGAAATTGACATGCATGTCTCATGTCATTCCATGCATGTCTCATGTCATTACATGCATGTCTCATGTCATTACATGCATGTCTCATGTCATTACATGCATGTCTCATGTCATTACATGCCTGTCTCATGTCATTCCGCATTGGCGAGGCCCATTCTCTGTGTGCGAATGTGCATGGATGGTAGTGGAGTGTCTACAACCTGATCATGCGATTTTTCACTTGTGAATTATTTTGGGTTTACAATACTTCAAGTAGTAATCCAGCATGTGTAATCTGGGCTCGTAGCACGACGTAACAATCTGGCCTTCACGCTATGCTTCTAATGGTCCTCTTTGTCTATGCTTCTAATGGTCCTCTTTGCTATACTCTGGCCTTCACTCTATGCTTCTAATGCTCCTCTTTGCTAAACTCGCAGACTCATTACCGTGCGAATTTGGAGCTGTCGCGTCGCGGAGCATCAGAGCCCAACAGAAAATTACCAGATGTAAGTTTTGTCGTCACTAACTTTTCACACGACCTTTGGTCATCCCGCTGCTTCTTCTGATTTCTGATAGGAGATAACCACGAGTACTTGGGTTGAGAATTCACAGTTCTGGTATGACAAATTCACAGTTCTGGTATAATGAATTCACAGTTCTGTTGTGACGCTGGACCTTGTCCCCGGTCCTCATACCCATGAACTCATGAAGTGATATTAAATTTTGTTCATACCTTTTTTGTGCACATGTGCTGTACAGGTGGATCTGGACAAGTCGGTGCAAGATATGGTCGACTTCTCTCCCATCTATCGGTGCTTGCATATCTTCACTGTGCTGGTATGTTGGGTCTCTTAAACCGTGTAACCATGCACTTGTGTGTGCCGCTTTGTGCCACATTGTGGCTTCTCTAGTGGAGAGCTGCTCAGTTCCTAACTTCACTACTGCTTGGGCCATGGTCAATCAATATAGGTCCATAGATCTCGCCGTGGCTCAGTCGATGAACTTTGTTGAGCACTTTTCTTGAATGGAAAATGTCTCCAGTCATGGTTGAGGCATGACTAGTCTTCTGGCTGTGGAAGCTGCCGGCACTGTGTCTATGTCCTCCATAGGCCTATACGGCGATGTAATTATGATCAAGTAGATGCTCAGCTTGCACCATACTACAGTTCTGGCCAGAGAAATCCGACCTCATGAATAAAGTAGCGCCACACTCAAGTGCGCAGAGTGGTGTGTGTGTGTGTGCGGTGCTAGGGCCACGTAGCCCCTGGCACTATTACTGAGTATGTATTTATGTTCATGAGGTCAGATTTCTGTGGTCAGGTCTGTAGTAGTGTGAGGAGAGTGCTTAGGGACAGTATTCCTGTTTCGTGGTAGCGCTTCTCTCTAAGCGTATCTCTAGTCTTTGAAGGAATTTCTGTTTTATAATTAGAGGGTCATGGATACATTTGTATCGTCCTTTTATCATGATGCGGGTAATGTATCCCTCAACACTTTATCAGGATTATTATCTTGATAACATTGTACAATTAGTAGTGTTGGTCCCTATCTGTGTTGTGTACAGGGTGAGCGGGAGACCTTTGAAGCGTACTATCATCGGCAGCGCTGGCACCAAGCTCGACTAGTACTGGAGTTTCCTGGAAACCAGGTTAGTGGGAGATAGGTAGAGATAGAATGCTGCGCTATTTGATGTTGCTGCAATTCTCTCTCTCTCTCTCTCTCTCTCTCTCTCTCTCTCTCTCCCTCCCTAGTTTCTTCTTTCTCTATATATACATGAATTTGTCAAGACACTAGTTTCTGCAAAGTGTGAACTCCTGGGTCACCAGCACGCAACTATTGATGAAAACTAATAAACGAAATGGAATGGCGTGGTGCATACAACACTGAGCTGTACTTGTGCAGGACAACTGCTTTTACTCCGCTTGGACGCACTCCGTCAATACTACATTTCCGGTGATATGATGGAGACATATCGCCATGTCAATTACCCATCCGAGGTGCACACTCCTGTTTTTCTCTCCATCCTTCCCCACCCTTCCAACCCACACATGCACGGTTGTAAATCAAAAGGCACATGTGCGTGTATTTCTCCTTCCTAGTCTAGAACTGTCTGAATGCTCCGTAGCATAGCACCAATGAAACTGTTTGGTTTTCCGCTTCTTTCAGGTATCAATGGCACTATACCGCTCGTACTTCTACCAGGTCGCTGGGTAAGTTTCAGGGGTGTCTTCTTTTAAAACACTGCCCTGTGAGTGGCATGAATTGAGGATATTCACGTTAAAACATTGTCGAACATTGTCTTTAGTATTAGGTGGGTAATGTCGTTCCTGGCGACCTTTGTAGTTGCCATTTGGTTGAGCTCACAAGACCATCACTGTACACGTCGTGTGAGCGCACCCTCAATGAGACTTTTTGACCACACTGTACAAGTAGACCAATATGACATGAAAAGCAGTACTGTGCCACGCTGAGCAAACCCCCTTCTCCAAGTGTACAGCGTTGTAAGTCTGCAACATTTCCCAAGAGAGGCGTTTGGATCGTAATACGTGTTGCTTTGTGTTTGTCGTTTGCGCTTATGTGTTTCCTGTGCTAGGTTCTTTGTCGTTGAAGACACCGTCCACAGCACTACGCAAGGATTGATCACAAAGTTAGTTTCCTTATGTACCTGTACTCGTACATGTATTTGTATATGTACGGACTGTAGTCTCTCAAGTACTGTAGACTGTAGTCTCTCAAGTACTCAGTAGTAGACTGTAGTCTCTCAAGTATCCTTGGTCACAGTTCATGCAAGCATGATGTGTTAGCGCTCTGCACCATGCTTCAGTAAAGGCTAAATCCTGCCAGCTTCGCTTTCTCTTGCTGCTCTACAGGAAAACGGTGAATGAATTATGGGAGCTGGCTGTATCAAAGATTGCCTCTGCATTGCGGACGCACACGGTAAGTCCCTTGCAGCGAAGATGCCAGGGTTTTTTTGTATTTCGAATCCTTCCCAACAAGTGTCCTACTTGGATGTTGAGCCAATAGTAATAATGTAAAGAGATTACCTTGGTGGACTGTTAGTCCTAACTAGTAACTTATAGGTCCTTTTCTCTTTACAAGTGTCACGCTATTCAATTTATTTTTTCAGAACCATTCTAGTAAATTTTGATGGGCATCCATGCAACACACCTGAGTCTGGGATGGAATGACATTTTACTCGCAGCTCTTTGGCTGGGAATTTATTCTGGCTGTTCCTGTTTGGATGGCTTATCAGATAATTTCTAGTAAATACTTTCTGGCGTGATTTGGGTTTTTTTTTGTTAATTGTTTATGGCAATGAATGTTCTGTTGCTCTGTTCTAGTCACTGTTCAACGAAGTACAAATGATTCGCTCCATCAAGGAACTCGTTGTGCATTTCTGCTGCACGTTGCAGGTAAGTACTGCGGCGTAGCATGCACGTTTGTTGCTGTGCTCTTGGGGAAGGTACACGTCAAACCCTTTCAGAGGGCTCAGTACCTGGTTACAGATTCTAGCTTTGGAAGGAGATTAGACCAACTGAAAGAAAAGAAAGAACCCCGAAATAGGTAGAGTGTATCGAAGTGTACATATAGTGTCATGCCGTACCGGCCACTTGCTTCTGCTACCCTTTTCCACCTTGGCAGATGCCAGCACATGTTGTGTGATACAGTGTGTGCGAGACACACTGTACACGTGTTTCAAATACAGCAGTCGTTGGCCAGATTCAATGAAGTCAGATACCATTGCTAGTATGAGACAGGAGTGAAAGTGAACATTTGAGTCCATCCCATTTACCAGCAACCGGCCGGCTCCTGGTTACCATTGCGCATTGTGTGAATTTGTTTTGTGTGTCCTTTGCAGTCATTTGACTTCCAAGTCAATCAACTGTATGATCTTCTTCTTGAAACAAGGTGAGAGCTGGTGTTGCCATTGTAGCTGCTGAAATTGTACTGGCCACTTGTAGCTCTCCTATGTGTTGTGTGCTGAAGAACTTGGTTAGCCTACGCTGTCACTGAGCACGTCTGCATTGTCTTGTGTGTGCATGTGTGTTTTTGTTTTGCAGAGAGCAATACTGTGAACTGCTCATGCGCACATGGTACACAGTTATCAAGTGAGTACTAGTATTGCCAGCATGACCCCCATGATATTTTTGTTGGAATTCAGAACACTGATGACTACAGCATGCTGTCACTGTATCAGGCATGTGAATCCACTTCCAGGTGTGCTTGCTCACTGTCAGAACAGTGTTGAATATCTACATGTACACACCCACAGCTTGGTCATACACTAGAGAGGAGAGAGGACAAATCTGTTACTGCTCACAGTTTCACACTTTGGTTTTTGCCTCATGACCATGGAGGCATGCAGCTCAGTCCAGTGGCAATGCTCACATCCTCTCTCCACCTACTATAATCATGTGAATCCTCCACCGTTCTGATCACCAGAATCTCTAGTTTCTTCTATGTCCACTCATTTGGGTAGCGTGTAAACCTTTTTTATATTTGAATCTTTCGAACATTTTGGGAGTGTGAGCGCATTGTTCTTCCGGTATGTGTGCCCACAGGTCAATATTTGAAGTTGATAACTACTCGCCGATCGTCTTGCGAAGCGAGAATGAGGCCAAGGGATTAGCCAGGAGCTTTCCCTTGTCTGACTATGAAGTTTCGGTAGGTGCAAGCTTTCCCTCCTGAAGTACAGTTTACTTGGAACACAAGGATGGGACTATCCGTTGTGCATTGTCAGTGCCCAGCCTGGATATACATGTACTATTGGTAGTATGAACTCGGATGGAGAGCCAAGGATTATTAAAAAGTAAAAAGGACCAAGGAACTACAAGTTACACTATAATGTCCACTGAGCTAAGCTGATTGTTTAGTAACTAGTGGTGTTAGTGGACATTATAGTGTAACTTGTAGTTCCTTGGTCCTTTTTACTATTGGTAGTCTTCGAAGTATTTCGAAATTTATGTAGTTAAGATACCTCGGCTAAATGTACCGTCTTCATTTTGTTTCTGTACAGACGTTTCCGGCAGTACTGCCCTTCTCAGAGTTTGTTCCAAGTGTCTATGATCAGGTAAGCTGCAAGAATACGGAGCTCGTGTGTCTGTGTGGGTGTGTCTGTGTGTGTGCAGGACCAGGTGAGTGTGTGGGTGTGTGTGCATACATGTGTATGTGCTTCTAGGCCCTATCTTTATGTACTCCAAGACTATTCGCAAATTTAACGATGTCCGAAAATCACTTAGAATAGAATAAATCCATCACGACTTCACAGATTTATTGTTTGTGAATGGGCGATCGTGTGAGAGTCGTATACCTGCGTTGCTTGGCTGTCTTGTTGGAATAGATCAGAGAATTCATCCACTCCTGTGCTGGCTTTGCAGAGAATCTGAACTTGAGGTGAGTTTTGACTTCCACAACTACCGGTTTGTATTGACTCTAGCAATAAGCCATTATGACAATAGGATATCACTGCACATGTAGTAGGACTGCGGCCATTCCACTTTGATAGATATGGTTTTTTCCGTACATGTACTTTGTTATTGCCTAATGAGCCCGTATGAAGGCCAGACACAAGGTCTCCCCAGCAGAGTGCATATACCTGTAGCTGTAGCTCAACTGTGCATAGTGAATAACCAGTAGTCAGTGAACTATTCTAGCTCCATCTCCGACATGTCCGCATTGTACAGTCTGTATTTGGACGCCGAGCAAGGTCTACGTCTCAACGCGCCAATCTTACAATGTACTGCTGAAATGAGTTCCGGCTTCTGGTACCCGCCCCTGAAAAAGTGCTTTCATGCTTTATGCAGCCCTCTGCCAAGCAAGTGCAACACCTTCCATGTGCCTCTTCATATTATGTTAGCTTGGTATTATGATGTGACTGTCATTGATTACTAGCTGCACTAATGTCATAGTAGCAGTGGCGAGGCTTCCTGCAGCTTCATTCATAGGAAAAAAGGTTTCAGAGCAGACTCGCTCTCTTCCCATTCACTCTGCAAACTCGAACTCATTTCTCAATCAAATTTTTACTAATATCATAGTCGTCTTATTGAGTAGCCGCGCTCTAGAGGAAGGCTGTTCATAACTCGGATATCTGCTGGTTTGTATCACGGGGTACCGCTACTCCAGTGCATGACTTGTTGTAGATGTGTTTGTCTTCTCTCACTCCTTTGGCTCCTTGCACACATTGTCGTTTGCCTTGTGCAGCTTGACGGAAACCGATGACATGGTACGAAAGTCAACGAATCTTCTCCTTACACGCACTGTGTCAGGTAAGACTGCGTTACTTCATGTGCATATCTGTTCCAACAGGGAGCTAATGGTTTCTTGCCTTCTATCACGTATTTCTCAAGAACCCAGACCGTAGTGTTCTGTATAAAAACCTACTACTAGGATAGTAGAGCCCCCGACCCAAGCAAAATGTCACCTTTGTTGCATCGTGACTAACAGGTCTCACTGTTATGCAGTAATACAGATCATGAGAGTGATGAGGATGACCAAAGGAACACAATTTTATGCTGCCAAATTTGGCGGTAAAAATGTACACGCACAAGTGGGCCACCAACCAGCCTTGGGCCCGAAGGGCGAAAAGAGGACTAAGAGTTAGAGTACTGCATGCAGTACTATGATTGTTTATACGGAAATTGTCGTGATGCATATACAGAAGATTTTAGCAGTGTCCGAATACTAGCCTGATTTTCGAGATGCACTGTCGTGGTTTTGAAACTCGGATGTTGAACCGATAATAAATGTAGAAAGGAAAAGGACGTCGAATGTCTCAGTACTCTGTCAGTTTTGTGCCTAGTTGTTGCACTTTCTGACTCAGACTGTATATAATATCTGGTTACAGTGATGGAGAGTTAGTCTTAACTCGTATCCATTATGTCCTTTTCCTGTCGTGGTTTTAGTGTTAATTTTAATACATGTACATCGAAATACCTGGTTTGAATACAAGCCTACCCCTGGTATCGGCCTCTACAGGAATAAGCCCGGTTTTATACGCGACATGGTAGATGTTCATTAACCTTCAATACCTATAGTAGTGCATTACCGATCTCGAAACAAAATTAAGAATGGTGCATTATGCATCAGAAAGAAAGCCTCTCCTAATAGCAAGAGTACATAATCACTCTTGCTAATAGTACTGTATAAGCAGATACCGTAAAATCCCGCCAGAGCGCCCCTACCTCCTCGACGCTTCAGGTGGGGAGGGGCGGATGGGCGAGTCCTACTTGCCGCATTCAGTGCTACATGAAACGGTACTCACCCTACAAAAACTGTTCGTGCATCTCGTACACCGACCAAAGGTCAAGAGCCAGGAGTTGTACAGACCCGTCAAAACTCAGGGTTTGTGCGATCCCTGGTCAAGAGGGTGGGCATTGTTGCGTACATTTCCAACGGGGTCGAGCAAGCGTCTGCAGTACAGTACGGCACCACAGACTGTGACAGAGTCATACGAGGATACAATCAATCACATCCCTGACAAGAAGTCAGGGAGGGGCGGATGGGAGAGATGGGGCGCTCTGGCGGGATTTTACGGTATATTCGTCTGGAATTTAATTTCGTCTTTTTCGTCCAAGGCGCTTTTGGACTAAATTAAATGCCGGACTAATGTCGATTTGTCCAGCTTTTCAATACACTCTTATGATCCATGGACGAAATTTACAACCGGACGAACTCCCTTTCTTTGGAGTTGGACGAAATTATTGACCGACGAAATGTTCTGCCTGTACAGTACTTAGTAGTCTTATGTTCACACTCTAGTACTGGTGTTGCCTTGTTGTAAGTAATATGAGTTTCACATTAACGTTATGTTCACAAATGTGTGTTATCTTGTGTATACATGTGGGTGTGTGCGTGCGCGCGTGCGTGTGTGTGTGTGGATGTGTGTGCATTCTGTGTGTGTGTGTGTGTGTGTGTGTGTGTGTGTGTGTGTGTGTGTGTGTGTGTGTGTGTGTGTGTGTGTGTGTGTGTGTGTGTGTGTGTGTGTGTGTGTGTGTGTGTGTGTGTGTGTGTGTGTGTTTGCAGCTTGCCTGGGTGAGCAAATTCACGATTCTAGGCTCAGCTTGGCACAGCTTGTTCAGATCTCAGTCAACACCACGTACTTAGAGAAGGCCTGTGAAGGACTTAGCACATTCATTGCGGACGTCACTGGGTAGGTACCATACAGTTGTGTTCTCGACACCGCTGTTGAGACTGTAGCGGTCGTTATGCCTGTTGCCCTGTAGTGTGTTTGATTTCGCATGCTTTCTTGTTAACTTTGCCACGCTGGCTGACTGGCTGATGATATGTGGCGTGTGCAATCTTCGAGCTGTTTTCCTGTCTGTGGGTGATTAGATGATTAGATGTGGTTTAGTGCATGGCCTGTATTCAATCTTACTTGTGTGAGACGGTTTGCTGCTGCTGTAATCCAGTACATTCACAGCTCTGTCAATTCGAATATGTTTTTTTTTACATATTCATCGAATTAGTTTGTAGTGTGTATATTCACTTTAGTCGAAGTGTGTTTCTATGGATAAGGATATGTATCGATATGTGTGTGGGGGTTGGTGGGTGTGTGTGTGGGTGTGGGTGTGTGGGTGGGTGTGTTGGTACATGGTGGGCGTGGGTGGGTGTGTGGGTGTGTTCTGCTGTGGAATTTGAACATTTGGATAATTAGAATTAGTCTTGTTCAACCTAAAGGGGTTTACCGTGATATTGGGCGTACTGTCCCATGCAACTGGACATGTTTGGCCAACATTGTGTTTGGTAATGGGTAATGGTGGATGGCTTCTCCAGCTGACTGCTCTGTAGCTATCCTCTGCCTTGGTCCATTGTGCTCTCTTGGTTGTGTTCTGCGCCTGCAGTGTATCAAGTGATACGTCTATGCTGCCACGCATCTACGGTGTGTCCAGCTTCAAGGTACAGTGCACGGGCTGACCGTCCCTTTTTCTTGTGCATATTTCAGGCGCGCATGCATTTCTGCGGGGAAATCAAGGCGTGTTTATATTCTTTGTAGCTACTGCTGCGTGTTGTGTTTAGTACGTATGTCAGGCTGACATCCCTTATTTCTAGTGGCTGTGTCGGGTTGAGGTTAACCTTATTTCTTCTGCTTTCCATTGCCAGGATGCTCGTGCTGATGCTGAAGACATGATCTACACCAAGCTGCAAGCCCAGTTGGATCAGTTCTACGAGCTTGGTAAGCTACTTGGAAAACTGCATGCTCATATAGAGCCTCTGGCGATATTACCAGGGTATGAATACTACTAGAATTGTGCCCAGTAACAGTTAGTTGTAGTGACATGTAGTGCTCTACTGTGGATAGCTGCAGACCATACCATGCGCTTTTTTAATTATAGTTCGTAGTATGTTGTAACTGTTTGCGAAAAAGCGAAGCGCTCATGATGGGACACTGCGGAAATCTGGATGGGAGATGCCACTGTTTGCTCCTCAAATGGTACTAATATTCATCAGCAACAAGTCCTGGCTATCTTTGCTCAGAACCCTCTCAGAATGCAGAGTGTGAAATTCCTCATGTGTATAGAGAACTATGCAGAGTGTGAAATTCCTCATGTGTATAGAGAACTATGCACACTGAACAAGGGTCAAAATATGCTATTTCCACTCTTCAGAGGGTGGGTTTTGTACGCTATTCCCATGAACCTGACGCTTGAGGTCTCCATGTCTGTCTTGGCATGACTGTACTACTTCTAGCTGGTGTTGTTGTTGTTGTTTGTAGCTGATTACAAGTGGATGGCACCGGAAAAGGCATTTCCATCAGACCCAGTCCCAAGCCAGTACATACAGGACATGGTCTCCTTCCTTCGCAATACATTCATCAGCCTAACAACTTTACCGGTACGTGTGTGCGTGTGTATGCGTGCGTACGTGTATGCGTGTGTATGCATGCGTGCGTGTGTGCATGTGGCGCCAGTGGCTTAGGTCGCTGGTATGTTTGCATACATATGCAAGTACTGAAATCACTCTTATTTCTCATGTGTGACCTTCCACCCTGGTTCAAGTAATTATACTGTAGTGCTTTATGTACTGCTATCCCTTTGTCATCCTGTTGCTGTTGCTGCTGCTGCATAACAATTGAAAATTTCTTGTGTCTGTTCTGTTTCAATGTCTTGTGTTCAATCTCTCTTGTATGTGTGTGTGTGTGTGTGTGTGTGTGTGTGTGTGTGTGTGTGTGTGTGTGTGTGTGTCTCTCTCTCTCTCTCTCCCTCATGAACACGCTGGCCATGTCACCCTCTCTTTGTGATGTGCGCACACATGCCTAACCTACACATGCACCCACAGGAGCATGTTGCCATGACAGCATGTATGACATCGTGCAAGCACATTGCGCGCACGTTGATGGCTTTGCTGGTGGACGAAACTGGCTCATTCAACATGACTGGTCTCAACCAGTTCAGCTCAGATATTGGACACTGTGAAGGTACAGTGCCTTGTAGAGTTGCAGCACCTGACACCTGACATCTGACGCCTACAACTTGCTACATTGTAGTGGCTATCTACTGCTGTACATGTACAAGAGAGCTCGCCATACATGTACTACATGTACTTGTACAGTAGAGCCCTGATAAGACGTACCCTCATGATGGGCAGCATGCAGGAAACTGTGTACTTACTATCCTAGCATACTTCAATAGGGATCCGTGCACCCGTACCGCTCCAGACGATGTCTCCGTACTAAGAGGAGTATGTCTTATCAGGGTGCGCACAAGTGGGTTCCACTGTACTTTTGTACACTAGTAATAGGGTTTACTTCAGTGTATGACTATATGTATGGGCGGGTACCGGGTGAGGGTGACTGGATGGCGCCATTCTGCTTCACAGCTTTCCGCAGAAGTGCAAGTAGGCACTTTTGATTGTAGAGCAGTTACCAGTCTTCTGTGGCATGGCTGCATTCGGAAAGCACTTCATTATTTATAGTAAAGAATGGGATCAAGGGAACTACATGTACAAGTTACGCTATAAGGTCCTCTACCACCACCAATTACTTGACAATCAGCTCATGCGATAACATTGCACGGCACTGACCGACGGTACTGACGTTCTACAACTGGCTATCAGTTGTAGCACATCTTGGATGCGTAACTTGTAGTTCCTTTTTCCTTTTCTTTACTATAAAAATTATCGCTGGCTCTCCGCCCGAGTCTATCACTTCATTCTTGTTGCAGAAAGTGCAGACGCAGCATCCCTGACTAGGTTGAGCAGCAAGGATTAAATTATTAATGGGGTCTTCACCTGTGAGCTCAGCTATTGACTTGTCGTAACAATGTAAAATAGAAGTGAGTTCATGTGCTGGGAACTGCACACCTTGCCCTGAAGTGTTACAACCAGCTCCAATAGCACAGTTTACACATCCTCATAATGCTCTCTATGCTATGCTGGGAATATTGTCGCATGTTCTAAGGTGGGTGGGGTGGTGCCGCTTCTTAGGGACCATATTACCTGTATTTTCGAAAGTAGCAAGATGGAGATGAAAATTGAAAATGTTTCTTGGTGAGCCTCTGGCTCAGAACAATCTTCTCCGACTTCCATTAATCTTCCCACTTTTGATCGAAATTTGTAGAAAAACTTATGAATCACCCATGGAAAGTCTAGTCACGTTTTCAATTTCACCTCAGCAGAATTTCATCTCAGCAGAACCTTGAAAATTGTAGTCGAAATTGCCTCTAGAGGATGGAATTTGATGGCACTACATTGTATTCCGAACCTTGACTTGTCTTTGTGTGCAGGTTTTGCTGGTGAATGTCCTGTGAAGGGATTCACTGGGGACCAGCTGGTGTCTGCTTTCAGTCCTGTCCGACAGGTGGGTTGTCACTTATAGATCTTTTGTCTGTCTGTATATATGTCTGTCTGTATTATATGTCTGTCTGTCTGTCTGTCTGTCTGTCTGTCTGCCTGTCTGTCTGTCTGTCTGTCTGTCTGTCTGTCTGCCCCCCCCCCCCCCTCTTTCTCTTTCTTTCTTGTATTATTTTTAAAATGTTTCCTTTTCTATCTTCTGCTCTTTGCCTGTGCTACATGTATAGTAGTATGTATAGTAGTATGTATAGTAGTATGTATAGTAGTAGTATGTATAGTAGTATGTATAGTAGTATGTATAGTAGTATGTATAGTAGTAGTATGTATAGTAGTATGTATAGTAGTAGTATGTATAGTAGTATGTATAGTAGTAGTATGTATAGTAGTATGTATAGTAGTACATGTATAGTAGTATGTATAGTAGTACATGTATAGTAGTATGTATAGTAGTACATGTATAGTAGTATGTATAGTAGTACATGTATAGTAGTAGATGTAACAAATATTCCATTATTCAAGCGGACAGTGATTCAAGAATATTCGAATACAGTCAAACCCCTTTAGGACGAACACCAAGGGAACGATGACATTTGTTTGCAATAACGGGAGTTCTTCTTATCCGTATGTTATACCCAGTGAATACACAGTGATTTATCCAATGGAGTGACGAATACTAGTTCTTCTTAAGCAAACATTTGTCTTATCAGTGTTCTTATCAGTGTTCTTCCTAACGAGGTTTCACTGTAGTCCGTTTCAAACTCGATGGTTCGAAAACATCAATAACCTGGTGCATAAATGTGCCGAGCCAATCATTGATGGCGACTATGATACATGTAGCATTGCTTTGAGGGTATTTCCACACGAGTGAGCGGTGTCTAGCAATGGCAGAGGAGAGCGATCATATCTTGAGGAATTAGTGATGACTTTTTAAGGTTCCGAAAGGCATGTCTGATATATGGAAATAACGTCAGTAGATTTGTTCATTTTGTTGAATCGGTATTCGGGCGAATATTCGTTCGTAGAAATCGTGGTTCGTTACATGACGAACTTGATTACTTAGTAAATTGTGCTTGTTTAAAGCTGTTTGTTACTATGCCAGCGGTGCTACTAAATTAACTCTGATGACTTGTAATCTGATCATGTTGTTGATGTGTGCGTATAGATCGTGGCCTTGTTCCAGTCAATGGACTGGTCTGGTTACATTGCTGACTACGGCACAGACAAGACCAAGTACCCGCAGGTGCGACCAAGTCAAGTCGCGAAGGTGCTCAGCAGGTGGGTGTCAAAGAACACTGGCTGCGAAACTCATTTTAAAGTCATGTCGGCACTCTAATTGGAATGCGCGCGTTGAGAAAGCTCAGTTACCCTGGCACAATGGAAATCCCGTCTGTGTCCTCTGAAGAGTTTGCATGCCAAGCTACCCATCATGCCTCATCCTCGAGCAGTCTGTCTAGTAGTCAAATATACAAGTCGTTTCTGAACTGGTGTTATTGCGCACAGCCATTGTACTATGTGCACTGTGTGTATGTCCGCTCTCAAGTCTTGGTCTTGGACTAAAACTGTTTGATTTGATACGCTTGCTGGTGCTGTGTGTTTGTAATGAAGTTGTACTGCACTGATGTAGTCCTCCAAAGTGAGCTGCCATTTTTTATTGTATTATAGTTATTTAGTCATCATCTGGCATATCAACAGATGGCCAATTAATCAGTTGAGATGAAGGGTGAGAGCCGACCATGGCAGAATGGATATACAGAGAGGGAGGACAGAGAAAAAAGAGAGAGAAGAGACATGACATTGTCCATGATGTATGTACGATGATGTGTGCTCAATGTGTGCTCAATGTGTGCTCAATGTGTGCAGGTACCGTGAGAAGGAGCAGAAGAAGGGCCTGCTGGGCAGCTTCCGCGGCTCTGATCGCGACCGGCGTCGACTCTTGGAAACGTTTGTGAAGCGACTGTGGGAGATTGATGCCGAGGGGAGAGACTGAGTTCTCCGGATTGCCTGGACATGCTCGCTCTCCTTGCTCACTACTTCAGCAGCCCAACAGGTACTGCTTGTTGTTGTTCACCTTTGGAATGGTCCACATAAATCGTGTATGTACATAGCACAAGTATTATCACTACCTGCCTCGTCATAGTGCATTCTATCTGATCTGATATACGTGTCATCTATTTTAGTCATTACTCTTCATGAGGTACCAGCTTATTGCAAATTATCTCTGCTGCCCTGCTTTCCTGCTGCTTGTTGAAGTTGCTCCCGTTGTGCGCATCTGTTCCACCTGTCCTGCTGTTGTACATACACCATCGCCATTTCTACATAGTCACCGGGTGTCATACTGGTACATGTACTGCGACCGATGCCCATTTTCATTAACCGTGTCCTGTCTTGATTTGTGTTTCGACTCTCGTCCCCCCCCCCATCCAATTTTGTCCATAACAGCGCTGCGCTTGCTGGCATGTGTAGGATCGCAAAGCTTGACTTATTCTGTGCACTGTTTACAAATGTTGCATGGACTGTATAGCAAATTATCGAGCTGTTTCATCATGTTTGCCAACGCCACCTAGTCTCTAGTATAGGTTCACAATTTCTTGATCAAGTAATCTTCTATTGTTTCATGTTATCCTTTTTCTTTCCCTTTCTTGTTCGTTTCTTGATGATTGTCTTTCCATGTCGGCCGAGTCCCGTTGGGCGGTCTTAGTAGTGTGTTGTGAATTTCAATTATTGTTATCACGTCACGATGTCTGGTACAATGTCTGATACTAGCACAAACACAGCTCTATTTTATTGATTTCCAACAATGTAGCCAAGAGCATTATTACCCCTCTTGCTGTAGTTCTGTCAGTCTTATCATTTCTCAATCCCCCTTCCCCTCGAGCTCTTCTATTCGTCCGCGTTTTGAGCAAAAAAAGAAGAAATCGTGACCTAATCCCTGACATGCTAGTTATTGTTGGCAGATCAATGTATGTGTGTGGACTTTAGTTCTACAGGAACAGTCCTAATAGTTTGAAATTACATGTTGGTCTCCCGGTGTATGGGGTGGGTGCATTTGACTGTGGCTGTGATTTTGTCCTCTCCTTTTTTTTACGTCAAACAAAACCCTAGACCAGGGAGTCGTAAAGTATGGTATTTTACGACTCCCTGGTACAGACCAAGAAGTTGCATGGTCTACACAACTGCCTGGTGCAGGCCAAACTCAGCCGACAGACCGTCTCTACTTGATAATGGTGGGCGACATGGGCACAAAGTGAGCAGTCTGACACTGCATGCATGCATGATCCCCGAGTTGACCTAGGTTAGGGGAATAAGCGAAGAGTTTGATCACCTTTTGTGTAAGTTACACATACATACGCACATCAAAGGGAGTTTTTTGGCAAAGATGGCAAAGGTTATCTCAGTACATGTACCGGCGGTATACCTTGCTCTGATGGGTATACAGACAGTGTACAGTAGTGCACACAGACGTGACAGAGGTACATGTACAGTGACACAAAACGGAAGCTGTGCAAGGAAAAAAAGTTTCTTTTGGTTGACAGTCCACTTGACACACACTTGGGTTGGTTTGTGGCAGAGAGTACTGTAGTAAATTACACTACTCCCTGGTTTGTGGTCAGTGTGCATACATTTCACTGAATAAAGGTACATTTATTTTGGCAGTTTTTTTTGGCAGTTTTGCACTAAAATTCAGAACCAAAGAACGAGTGGTGACTTATTACTCAAGATTAATACATTGAAATAATATGACAGTGACCTGCACATGAGAGTGCAACACAGCCGTGGAACTATGATAAAAGATATAGTAATTATTGGTACATGCATGTTGCTGCACCGTTGCTGCCGGTGAGAACTTGCCATCAAGGGGTTTACTCCAGAGTCATGCCTACACGGCTTGTCAATGAACTCACCCAGAACCTGAAAGCGGACTGGAGTATATAGTTTCATACAGCTGTGTGATTAAAAACAATGCGATCGCTATAAGTCGTGGTGTTGAGACCGAATAAGAAAACGATAGAAAATAACAACAGAAATGCGAATGTGAGAAGAGCCTGCTCCGACACATCTTATCCTATACCGATACCTACATACACCTATGAGTGCAGTCATCCTAAGTCATGACACTATCACTATACGCGTCTAGTGTTGTTCACCTGACAAACACCTTGCTGTGATGCCAGGAATTGTTCAGCACGCCGCGCAGGTTCCAGATGGGCTCCACCGACTCGGGCTGGTTGTTGTAGGACTCGTCGACCGCCTTGCAGATCACGTCCAGCTGCTGCCCGCTGCCACGCAGCTCCTCGGGAATGGCAACGTCGACGTCCCACAGAGCCCACGCCCAGCGCTGGCGGGACTCCTGATCCTGCTTGCCATCGTCGGCGGTGACTAGGTTAGCCACGCACCATGTCTTACCGCCGTCAATTGACACGTCGACGCGCACCACACCTCGGCCACCGCCACTCCACGCATAGCCCTTCACCGACAAGGTTTCGTCGTCGCTAGAGATCTTCGTTCCGGACGACGGCACGCAGATCGCTGACTGGACCGGCAGGTCCTGTATGGCCGGTGATTTCGTGAAGTCCACCGTGTCCCAGTCGACACCGGGAGAGAAGCCCTTGTAGTCGTTGCGCTGCCAGTGCGAGTGACTCTCCTCGTGACTGGCAATGACGCGTGACAGCCACTTGACGTTCCGTGCACCGACCACACCGGGTATGACGGCACGCACCGGGTAACCATGGTCACGCGGCAGCTCCTGGCCGTTCATCTCGTACGCTAGCAGTACGTCACCGTACTGATCCATCGCGGTGCGGACCGGGATGCTGGCACCGTACGCCTTGCCGTCGACACCCTGGTCAAGACCTTCAAACTGAATGTGCTTCACAGACCTGCCGTCGCCGGTGCTGCTCGTATCCAGGCCGGCGTACTGCAGAACATCGCGCAAACGTGCACCGGACCACTCTGCATTGCTAATGGCTGCTGCTCCCCAGCTCAGTCCCTTTACGGACTTGACATCGGTCATCTGTCGGCGACGATTACCGGCACATTGCAGTGTTGCCACTACCGTGTGCTTAGTAAACTTCTCCTTCAGGTCTTGCAGTGACAGCTTCAGTGGCTCTCTACCGGGTGCAGTCACCTCCAGTACATATTTCTTTGGCTCTACGTTCGGCACTGGCAAGTGATTACGGACAAAGAAGAGCTCATTCGGGGTGATGAAGCTATCTGTCAGCAACGCTACTGGAGTTTCAGCATTGAATGGTTTCTCTGTGTTGATAGTCAACAGTGGATTGCGTTCGGGGTCTTTGGCATAAGGGTCGTCGGCTGCTCGCTCTCGTGTTTTGTTCTTTGCGGCCAGTGATTTAGCATCCAACACGCCAATCTTGTATTCGTCCAGGATTTCACGCACTTCGTCACTCTGGTGGATAGCATACAGTGACCAGAATACTTGCAGATCGCGTCCAGCCGCCAACATGATCTTGTCCATGCCGCCCGGGTGGCTCTCCACGAAGCTAGTGACGTCATACACATTCTCTCCGTATGTCACCCACACGCCCTTGTCCAGACTGTTGTGCTCCGCCACGTCTTGAAGAGAGAATTCCCTCGCAATCGGCTTCGAGGCAGCATGGCTGGTCGGTTGTTTTTTTAGCACCAGGTAAGCGGCCAAACCTACACCACCGGCGACAGCTGCAGCGAGAGTAACCTGCTGGCTACGGCGTTGTTGACTCTGAAATTGTTGACTTGATGATACGCATCGGTGATAACGCGTGAAAAGGCGTGCCGTTGAGGGCCTGCGAAGCATGATTGGGACAACACAGAGCAGAAAATAGGTGTTTTCTTTCCACACGCAAGGCCCTGAGAGGAAGGAAAGCAGAAAGACACTGCACTGGAACAAGTATCCTCACTGCTCAGGCTGAATCGAGTCAGATTGCGAAATTTCATTTCGTGCTTTACTTCCTACATTCATTTCTACCACTTGCACTGACACACTGTACGTCACGTCATGTACACCGAAAAGGGGCATCCCGGCCCCGCCCCCAATTTGATCGACCTGGACAAAAAATCTAAAATAAATGAATGATGGACCGATACTGCATACTGTCTGATTACAGAATGATTTTAATAAAGCATGTTTACACACTATGTCACAAGTATGGGACCTCGAAGGCTGGAGAACATTAATTTGAACCAGGCTAGGGCACCATCATAATTATAACGCCGGTTACACAGACCTTGGATGTTGTCAGGAACACCGTTTCTTGCAGTTGGTCCTCCAAAGAGTACTGTCACGAAAGCCGGCTTTTACAAAATGAATTACTCTTTGGCCTTTGCCTTGCATGTGGCAAGCTGCCGCATGCAATACCCTGATAATATCATGATGAACAAACAAGATTGCAGTAGCACTAGCAGTACAATGATGGAGGACACACTGCCAGAGCAACAGCGGATATTCTGATAATGATACAAGTAGACAGACGACATTTACAGTCATTCAACACAAACAAACAGACCTGTGCTGCATGCGCGCACTGTAGCTCGTCAATGAGATGAAGAAAACGAAAACCTAGCAAGTACCCATACACCGGTATGTACAAGTACATGCGAGGCCGACGTAAGATTCCTCGAAAAAAAGGAAATAAAATAAAGTACTTCGGGGAAGTATGAACATGAAGTTTCTGCACAGTGTGGTAAATAGAAGTATCATGCCGGATGGGTTAGGAAGAGACTTTTATATCAACAATTCTGACGTATTCTTTGAAAGTAAATAACTAAGCAGCTAGGGGCTTGTGACACGCCGCGCTTGCACCTATCAAGGGGTATCAATGGATTCGTGTGTAATGCTGAGTACCCAAACTAGGAATCAGGAGCTGCAGTAAAAATAAAGGCTGCTGATCTGTGAGTACTACTAATTATGGCAATCATCAAGACCTAGCATGAGGTTCCAGACAAATAGCAGGGGAACGAAATAAAACAAATAAAAAACAGACACATTCTAGGTAGGCGCAGCGGCACTAATTTAATAAGCGATCAATCTATACCTGCAGTCCGATTCTACCAGCGTTTGTGTCCTACTTCAAAGTAGACTCTTGTTAGCTAAGTCTATGCTCTGTAATATAGTGCAAGTGGCTAAAACACATGTAGAATGGAGTGGTGTGGTTAAAAAAAAGAGCTGCCGGTGCTTTCTTGGTGTTGATTCGATGGGAAGTCACTGGCAGGACCCCCATTGACAAGAAATGAGCATAAAGAATACTATGTGCCGCAGGCCGTGTAGTGACGCACTGTGCTGCAGACATTTGCTTGTAACCGGATATTATGGTCCAGCTATGGCTGGGGGTATGACCGACCTATGAGAAAAAGCGAATGCTAAGCTTCTCCTCTACAGCCGAGGTTTTCATGACCTGCACAACACAAAATGCAAGCACACACAGTAGACACCTCACAACAGCAACAAGGATGATGTGTTTTTTTTAAACACCCGGTGCCATAGCTTGTGAGCGTGACCATAGCAAATTGTACACCCTGTCACATGCTGCAGTCGTCGTGTGGTGTGCAGATTTCACTGAGTCGCAGCGAGTGGTTCATTCGTTGCTATCTGACGAGCACATTTCCGTGCATGAAACTTCTCACACGGATTAGGATATCTCTGGTGAGTGCTGTCCATAGGTGGCAGTGTGTGCTTGTAATCATACCATTCTTCATTGATACCGTTTGTCAAGGCATTAGAACAGAGAAATGAGAACGCGTGGTCCATGGAGGGTGCCAAGTTGCCAACACTAACCGTTTTGAATTTTTCAAATGTAATATCTCCGGCATCATCAGCAGCAGCCTCTTCCAAAGTGAGTTCCAGCACATATTCAAGCTACAGAAAACAACAACAACAACGTGAGAATAAAGATTTGAAACAACAACAACAACAACAACCGAGCGAAAAGGGCTCCTGTTCAGTCACAATCTTGTATTTTCATGGTATGATCCCCACAGTTTTGTGGAAGACTTGGAAAAGTTTGCACTGCAGCCTACATGCTGAGTGACACCAAAACAAAAGACGATATCCTCTCGCAAAGGAGACGGATGTACATCTTAGACTGGAAAATACAGCAGCAAAACAGCTGGGAAATATCCGATAAGAAGTGAGGAAGAAACTAGTTAGTTGAAGAGTCAACGTGGAGATAGAAATCGAATACTGTAATAGAAATAAAGAAAATGAATGTGGTACTCAATTAGTTAGTACTTGGCAATTCATGTGCACTTTGTGGGTCGGATTTCAGCGAGCACAACTGTAGGAGCCACGGTATGCTATGAAACAAAAAAATCTGAATGCAGATGATGTGGGGCGGTAGGCACGGGCAAACTGAAATCAAACAAGCAGACAAAATTACCTGCTCTGTTGTCACGTTGACACCCACCATCATCTGGAAGATCTAGAATGTGATGGACAAAGAGAAGTAAGACAGGGAATGACAGCACCAACACATAACCACCAATCAAATAATTAATTAATTTTAGATACCGAGAAAAATAGATAGCACCAAAAGCCGCCCAAAATCCAGAGCATATCAAGTACAAGTAATGTCAATTGCCTTCCATCAAGACTGGCATCAAATGCCATTATCTTCAAAGTACAACATCGGCACAACAAAGTTGCAAATTCTCTATGCTCCTATGAAAGAGAGAGAGAGAGAGAGAGGTCCACTTGGAATGTGTTGTGACTTCTAGTTGTTGTTGTGTGATGGTTGCTTCAGCATGAATCTTAAAAAAGTCATGAGGGATTCCTATTGGACCCCCCCCCCCCCCCCCCCCCCCTCCCTCCCTCTCTCTCACACACACAAATACACACACACAGACACACACAGACACACACAGACACACACACACACACACACACACACACACACACACACAAATACACACAAATACACACAAATACACCTCAGACCTGCCCATCGCAGAAGCAATGATAGCGAACAGCTATGTTAGACATAGCAACTAGTGCTGGGATTACACCATTCAACAGCTTGCAAGGCTGATGAATACACACACACACAAATACACACACACACACACAACAACAACAACAACAACAACAACAACAACAACAATACTGCAACACCACAGAGTAAGGAGTAAAGAGTACCGGGCTATAATGAAGGCCCTGAAGCCTGAAGGGGAGAGGAGCGAAACTCACTTTCGACAATTCATTCTTTGATATGACACCATCGTTGTTGACATCGTACATGGAGAACACGACTGAACAAAACAGAGATGGAATGAGCAAAGCATCAGCATCCGAAAGGTCTCTAATTGGCATGAGAATAAAGAATAATAATGAGTCTCATTAATGACTCAGTCGTCGACTAGCACGCAACACATTACGTACTGCTGATGATGTACGAAAACCGATCATCCCTGCTGACATGACTTGCAAGGGACTATTCCCAAACAAGTTGGCCAGAGCAACCAGTGTGCTGTCACATCACACAGGAGGCAAAACATTTACAGGATTCAATCGGAACTGTCTAAGCAAAAACTAGCAGTTTTAACGAATGCTGAAAGTGCCTCATCCAAATTGACATGAGCAGTCACAGTTAGGGCCACACCACATGAGCTCAGTTGCAAGACGCTTCATGATTGTCCCTTTGTATTGGGCATGCTCCAGTCTTTGAGAATGATTCCTACCAGAGGAGAACTGGTGCTACATGTATTTCCCGAGTCACGGCTGCCAAAAGCAGTCATTGTGATTCTCGCATCATACTTCAGTAGCTTTACGGTGCAAGTTTATGAGTACGTAAAGTACATAGATGTAACAATAGGGAAAGCAGAAACTCTGCGTGTTTTCTTACATTCAAGCTTCTTTTCTCGTGAATTCACTGCCGATGAGCTGGCATCCGAGACAGAACCATTTCTGGAGTCAGTAGAGCCGTGCTCTTGGCCAGGGCGGAACACCGCCAAAACGTGGACGAAATCCGGGAAACTCAGCTCTGTACGGTCTCTGATATTGTGACAAAAAGACACGGATGTGTACAGGCATGGGCGTGCATGCACATATGTATGCGTGTGTGCATGAGTGAGTGAGTGGTTGTGTGTGTGAGAGAGAGAAAGAAAGAGAAAGAAAGAGAGAGAAAGAGAAAGAGAAAGAGAGAGAGAGAGAGAGAGAGAGAGAGAGAGAGAGAGAGAGAGAGAGGTGCGAGCCAAGTCAAGAAAGGCTGTGTTTACATGAGAAATTTCAACCCGGGTCGAGTTCAGCCCGGGTTGAAACTCTGTACGATAGACAAAATAGGTGAGCGTTTACATAAAGACAGTTGACCCGGGTCAAATACTGATATGCCGCCAAAAGTCCACTTCTAGAGTCCTTTTTGGTCATGTGAATACTTTCGCGCGAAATTTGCATGTGCAGTGCCATTCAAACATGGCGCAAGATGCGCAAGATACGCACAGAAGTACGTTAGTACGATTTTCTCGCCCCGGGTTGATTTCAACCCGGGTCAAGCGCAATGCATAATGTAAACGCGCCATTCATTTTGTGTACATGGCGGGTTGAAATCTGACCCGGGTTGAAACTCCTCATGTTAACACAGCCAAAGAGAATATTATATACAGTGAAGCCTGCCTTACATGAGCCTCAGCAATACTACTTCAAAGTACTTGTAACTAAACGAGCTTAGTTGTGCCTATTATTCACTCTACTTCAACCTTGGAAGGACAATAACACAATCAGGGCCAGTCAGGGCAGCTCGCAAGAGTATGCTCTATGCACCAGGGTGCAGAGTGGTATGCATGAGTACAGGAGACAAGAGGCAGGTTTTCTGCAACTCGAGAATTCCGTGCACCGGGCTCAGCGAGGGAAACTTTGAGTTACAGAAAACCAGTCTCTTGTTGCCTGTATTCGAAGTACATGTACATAAAAGACAGCCGCAGTGACGTTGATCGTACTAATGACGACGAGACACCAACAATGCACACTAGTCTGTACACTGTGAGTGTTCCATTCATTCAGAGCTTGAGCAGGGGGTGGGCTATTTGATTATATTATTGTACGCTATAGGTACTGCTGGGGTACTAGTACAGAGTTGTTTCAAAAAGCAGTCAACGCCGCCCTACTACTATAACATACCCTGGGAAGAAGGCGTCGATAATTCGCACCCCAAGCGGGTTAATGTGCAGCTCGGAGATATGCTCCAAGTCACTTCTTCTGCATGGGGGAAAAGAGACAGAAACCTAAACGATGTCAAGAACATAACAACATCTACAAAACTGTCATAGAGTGAGTAGGGGTTGTGTGTAGAAAAGATTGAAGAATTGAAATGCTGCGTTCTTAGACTTATTGATAATTGGGAGATAAATAGGGGCTTCGAAATTCCCTTTTTGGTACCTAGAGTGACTGTGATCTAGAGTTTATATATGGCTCAGCTGGCTTTGGACAAAAGGAAAGCGATACAGATCAAACTGTACGGCATGAAAGTGCCATAAATAATTTTATGACTCTCTCCCTAGGTCGTACACAGTCAGGTTTGGCGTTGTCAAGTGCAGCTACGTGATTCGAAAATTCCACATGGCGACGGGTCCACATGCAGTGGGTGTACGACTTTCCGTAGATTGACTACGTTTTTACTAACTTAGGCCGTGATCGTTTGGTCGGATCCAGATTCAGATCGGTAGGATCCACTGGATCTGCAGTGATTGATTGGTCGAATCCGGATCCAGATCCTTCGGATTTGGATCCGGGCAACCCTGCCCCGAGAGCAGGGTTGACTGGATCCATCGGATCCAAATGTGACCTTTGTGCGTATATGGCGGGTAAAAATCATATATTATTTGTACTCATTGTCGTACGTCTAGTGGACTTTTGTTGACTTTCCGCACGACGCTCGCGACCAGCACGACTTTTGCCGAGTTTTGGGTGACCTGTCAGCGCCATTTTTTACTTCGTCAACATGGCAACAGTCAAGGTCCGAAAAAAAGTGATCGGTTGATTCTGAAGGATCCGACGGATCTGAGATTAGGATCTGGATCCGGATCCGATCAAACGATCATAGCCTTATAGTATGTTGTGCAGAACGCCTCTAGTTACGTTGCTAAATTTCGCAATTTCTCAGAACCAGCGAGTTTACGATGGCAAATGTTCACAGAGCACTGTAGTCACATACACCACGTCACATACTGTTGAAGTTTGATTCCGTGCTAGTTATTAATATTTGTACTACTGTAAAAGCCATTTGATAATATTCTAGCGAGCAAGTTTACAGTAGTTATCGTGGATGGCATTTCAAGTGGCTTATATTCATTATTCAACCCAGTGTATCACTTACTTGAGACAGCCCAATTTATCTTTGTCAAGGGAACTGAATCGACAATGCAGCCGTTGAATTTGTTTCCGAGAAACTGACCACCGAAAAAAAAGCATAAAGGGAGACAGCGGGGAACAAAGACAGAGAAACAACAGAGATGATGGTGTGGTGCCAAGGAAAAAAGCAGAAATACTAATAATTGTTCCCTATCAATAATCCTCACATCCTGTCTCAGAGACCAGCGTTGCCACAACCTCGTTGTCCAAGTGACGAGAAGGATGGGACCCCATGATACCGAATATATGTCACGCTGCTTGCTATCAGCAAGCCAGTACTTATCGGCTAACACGTCACCGCAAGTATAAAGATCATCTTCTTTCTACTTGTATTCCTTCTTTTTGTGCCCGACGATTTACATTAAATTGACCTCGTGTTCATACACTCAGGATACAGCTATTTATAGATCTAAAATTAATAGTGGTTGCGATATAGATCTACAAACTAAAATCACGAAATATGCAGAACCCTCCTGTACCAACTACACATGCACTACTTGCAGTGGCTGGGAGTGGGACGCATTTCCTTTCACTTGAGAATGATCCTTTCAATTTAAAAAAACCCTCATGCTCTCATATTGCTGTAAAGACTTGTGTGAGAGTCACTTTTATTTATTTTTTTACAAAAAAACAAGACTGTCAAGACTACAGTCCGTTTTTTGCAATCCTGGCGATCGCCCGCAGAGTTTGGCGTCTTACCGTATGAGCACTCGAGCGCTGCCTGGAAAAACTCACTGTGAACTCGAAGAAATATTCCGCGCGAAAGCAGGAAAAATGACAACTCACTCACGTTGATGAGGTATATTATGCTCCGCAGGCCGCGAAAGAGAGCCCGTTACCTGGACCCCTACTCGCGCGGGTAGAGCGAAACTGAGCACCCTGGGATGCGAGCAGCTTTTTAGTACTCCCGGGTCCAAAATCTCACCACCAGGCCGGGATGATCAAAACGTCTGCCGGGTCTGCAGCCTACATATGTACAAACGTGGATCTGCCGACACTGTGCTGTCGACGACATGTCCGGCAAGGCACCTCCTTGCGTGAAAGCAAGGAACGCTTTTTTTTAGAAAGGAAGCTTCTTCTCCAAAATTTAAAATTTTTGAAAATTATTCCTTCTGAAAATATCATCGCGTTCTTGACCTCGAAGCTGACTGCTGAATGCGATTAGGAAAGAAGATTCCTGAAGATACACCAGACTGATTCTGGCAAGCCGTCTGTCGTCTAGATATGCAGTTGTTCGTCATGCATGGTCAGCAATCTTCCTCGTTCGTCCTTTCGTTTTCCTGACCACGATGATGACAAGCAGCTCTCATGCTCAGGTTAGTGCTGTACTTGTATGTCTGGGCACACAACACATCTGAGATTCACCCACTGACGTTATCGAGCTGAAGAATGCAGCAAGGGTTCCTCGGATTCTCTTGATTTCGGAACAAATTTCCTTCACTTTCACCCTCTCAGTCTCTTCCCCATGCCCTCCATGCATGCACAATCGAGTTTGCATTTCAAATGTTGTTTTTACTTTGGCAGTGCGTTCGATAACGTTAGGACAGTCTAAGTTAGGTGTTCTTCTCTCCAGGCTTATTGGACGTGTACAAATTCTAAAAAAATAGCTTCCATATGCTAAACGCAGATCCCTGTGAATACGGTTCTGCTGGGCAATGATGTTTACACCAATCTACACTCTATGCTGTCACAGCATCCACAACTGATCCTCTCTCTCTGAATTAACTATTATTTTGATAAAGCCAATCTTTAAATCGCTGTTGCATAGGATCTCGGGTGGGAAGAAGCGATGAATCGATACATGACATTGTGAAGAAAAGAAGAACAAATTCACATTGCACGTGAGACTCGGTTAGAAAGACTGAGTTTCTGCATTCATAAGAATGTCACACCCCGGGGCCGGGGATCATGATAAAGAAAACATATGTCGTGAAAATGACTGAAAGAACCAAAGAAGTATTTGTAGGGATATCAGCGAACGCACTGCGCAGCCCATCTGCGCAGGTCAGCCTGGCCCATCTACGCGTGGCCGACAAAAAAACTCATGAACCCTTTCATTTTTTTGCAAAATAAATCGTGCGAAGAAGATGCACGGAATGGCTGAAAACTAGGCTGAGGAAAAGTAGCATCCAGAGACTCTCAAACAAATTCAGGGCCCATCGCTTCTGACAATGGCAGCGAAGACATCGGGGAGCTGATTTCAGCAACTCTCTACCAAGCGCGACGCTGGTTACTCACCAGGGCAGGGCGCTTCCATCGCGCAAGAAATGGCCGCGAGCGAGAAATGCAAGTCCGATTTTGGTACGATCCAACCAGGGTAATCCCTTGAAAATTGGCCTGAACACCTCTCATACTGGTGTTTCACGATGTGCAAACTTTCAGAGAAATCGACCGGGGAGAACGTGGTGAGCTCGTGGGTCCTCCTGTATCGCGTATGATTTGAATGGTCGCGGGGACAGAAGAACAGTAATTTTACGACTCCCAGCGGTGCAAACAGACCGCGGCCATGTTTTCTCTGTCGGCCGCGATCACGTTCAAAAAATCGATGACGCAATGCATGCGCAGAGGCCTGCGCAGTGCGTTCGCTGACATCCCTAGTATTTGATCTTCCAGCCAGCTTAGCCTGGTACTACCATACTAGCAGTGCTACCAAGTACCAACCCTCCATATTTTCTGTATTTGTACGGAAAATCACTCCTTGTGCGCACTACAGAAATTGAGCAAATGGTATAGAAAATCGGAGAGGATCAATCAGCTGTGTAGAAGCATTGCAAGTGTAAGCTGAGTGATGAATAGTCTTGTACCAAAGCGAGTGCATGCCGTACCACAACAACATGTACATGTAGCACAAAAATAATAATGTCGTGAGTGCAAGTCACACATGTTTTACACTACCAAATGCAGCCACCGACATGCATGTGCGTGTCAAAAAACATTACAGTGCAAGTATGCATGCAATGTACACGGCAGTACGCAAAACACTGCAAGATACGGAAAATCAGAAGTCTGAGTACGCAAAACAGACTCAATTGGTGGGCAGCTCTGTACTGGCCTGTACGGAGGGAGTGAATCTCAATGTGTGCAATGCACGCACTTTGGCCGACAGTGAAAACTATGCAAGTCGTGTTGGTTTGCAGGATGAATGTGAGTCCTTTTAGACAAGCGCCTTAGTGGAGTAGCCCACCGAAAGAAGAGTACTTGACACTGCGAAGTGGAGTCTGCGCATACAACAGTGAGGGGGTAAAATTAGCTATGACTGATTCTGCATGTGTTCTGCATGTGTGTCACATTACACTAGCAGATAGGCACACCTGTTGTTCCAAAAAGATGCTTATGTCAGTGTCTGAATATGTCGTGTACCGGGTAATATTGTTGCCAGGATCTCACGGTGAGAGTCAGACTTGAATATGGTATCAATAGATTATCAATATCATACATCACCATGTACCACCCAAAGTATAATAGCCGAAGGACCCGTTTGTGTGGTGGTGTATGATTTCGTGAGCAAGATGAAGTGGCTACAGATGTGTCTTATATAACACCCTAAGAAAAGATCATCAATTCTGGGGAAAGTGATTCTGGTAGCATGTTGTATCCAGTGTGGCATGACAAAGACTCCCTCGATTTAGCCTGTGGAGAATCCGTAAATACATAAATACAATACATCCAGGCATCGCAACCTTCGGATTATATGCTCTTTTGCTTGCCTCCTGGAGTGTGGTTGTACCTTGGTTCACTGTATTAGAATAATAGTAGACTTTGTTTTTCGAATTCGTTTCTATAACATTAGGTTTCTTTCTGTTGCTGCTATGTCTTTTCATGTGTTTTACAGGATTGCCATCTATTGATGAATACCACTCTGAGGCACTCTCACGAGCGAAGGTGTTTGAAAATCCATGTCGGAATGATGGTCATGTTGGCCTAAAGGTGCATTACATTGCCGATACTCGCCACCTCCACCCTGGAACATGTTCAATTTCTGTTTCTCGTATGGAAGGACCGAACAGGTTGTTTTCCTGTCTCAGTGGACCACTCAAGACTGAACAGCACTGATGGAAGAAGATTTGCCGTGAATCTCGTTCACATAATCAGCCTGTTTAATTGCTGTACTGAGGTGACTGCTTCATAACAATGACCATGCAGCATTAATTTTGGATAGTATTGCAGTGCCCCTAAATATGGAGAATATCGAATTTCTCTGATAGCATTGTGATTCATTTGTGAATAAACATCACTACTCTTTTTGAGTAGCATAGCAATGACAGAGTTGGTTTAATGTATGACAAAATGGAGCCGCTTTTTAACTTAAACCTGTACTATAATCAGTACCGCCGGAAGCAGTTTTTGATTGGTCCGGTAGTTTCATGGCGGGTACACACGTCCTCCACGGTAGGAAACGTTTGTTGGTGGCCAACAAGTTGGTCTGGTGATAACCTGACCAACCAGACCGGCGGGCCTGATAATTGTGGGGCTCATGAGCAGCTCAAGTACTTAGTATGGTTTTGGACATGTCCCCAGTTAACCAATGAGAATAACCGGAAAACAAGGGGGGCTTTAGATACCGGGCTGACTTAACAAGAGGCAGGATAAGCGCGTTACGGGTTGAGCTTGTCGAAAACCAATTGTACTTCATTATGTGTGAAGGGGTTTTATGAAGAAATATTTTATGAACCAGTGTACAGAGATGGTGCTTATGACGAAAGGAGAGAGGAGAAGTGTGTGAAAGTCGATAAAGGGCATCCGAAGGAACACATCGATCCTTGTTGTAAAGAATATTAAGTATAAATCTATGGTTGAAACCTACTTCCCCAAGCGTTCTCTGTTAAGTATAAATCTATGGTTGAACCCGACTTCCCCAAGCGTTCTCTGAGGGGACCGAGGTCTACTCTATCAGTTCATGTATTCTGTGAAGTGACATGACCATTCGTGGGGACCTTGCTCATAACTGCAAAAGTCCTCGTCTGATTTTTCCGCATCAATTGAACGTTATACATGTGCATGTAGTGAAAGCCACATGCAAAAGGCTGTTCCATGGCACTCATCCGCCACCAAGCTCTGGGTTCATTGGCTGAATATATTCTTCGGCACAGTAAAGTCGTGCGCCCAAGAACGTGGAAGCCTACAGAACATCCAACCTGGAATACTAAGAACACCACAGCCCAAAATTAAGAATTGCGGTGTAGGTTTGTGCTGTTGTCAAACACCGGGATTGTTATGTTGCACATGTATCTGAGCTTTACCACTACATACACGTCTGTCTTTACACAATTACCAATCTGCAGACAGCATGCTGTTTCGTCCTTTAGTTACTAATGGACTCATCAATGCAGCACAGAGAAAATCAGGCAGGTGAATGTCCTAGGCTAGAGAGCATCAAATACAGGTATAGAATCATGCCTTGCAGATCTCGTTACGGCCCCTTCGATGCATGTCTGAACATTAGATGGCTGTGTAGCTTCAGTTATCTCAGAATATGTACTATTTATCCAGCAGCAACAACGTTGGTCACACAACTATTCACTATAATGAGTATGCGTTGGAACACTTTACCCCGAGTCATACTATAGCAGTGTATGCCATGCATGGGTTTACCTCACACACTGAATTTCATAATTTGACATCCAAATCACAGAAGAGTGGTGTTCCAAACTTTACGTAATTGCACTCCATGTCCTGCGAGCTACAGTAGAATACTTCAATAGAAAATTTCTTATAGCACGTTCTTAGAAACAAATCGTATAGTTCGAGGCTGTCAACCCAGAAATTTGTGATTTCACAGCCATAGATGTTACCAGTCAGGTCACTGTATACAGTAGGTATGCAGAAGAAAATACTAGTAACTCTTTGTGGAAGAGCTGTGCCAAAATGTGTACAGTACAGTAAATTAATAAAAAATGAGAAAAGCAGTGACAAGGCTGTGCATGATGTAGATCTACTCGTACCAGTAAGTACAGTGCACCAGTGAAATTGTTGGTGTAGTACCGGTATACTACTATAATTATGGCATGGCCCATGCCACTACAATCTATTTGCAGTGGGCCGCAGTAGGCCAGTGCAACAGAAAGCATTTCAGAAGCTGTGTGCAATGTTAACATCTATGACATACAAGTAAACTGCCATATAGCACAATCGATTACTCTCAGCCCACATAAGTACAATGTAGGCCAATCAGTAGTATAGATACATAGAGCACACTCTACATCATACATAGTCGGCACCAAATCTATGTTGTCGATGTACTTTGCAATGATGACATGATGGCAAGCGTGCTTGATTCATCATAATATTGCCTTGTACTTGGTTGGAAGTTAGTTGTAAGTTCAGTGGTCGAGGTAAGCAGAGCTGCTCCAGCTTTCAGAATCCTGCATGAAAAAGACAGAAAGCAAATGTAGGTATAATAGTAGCAAGCTGATGTAAAGAGCCTGTCTTTCAATGCAATAATTCTATCCACTGCATGGACAGACCTGGTGCTTCATTCACCTCTGTTTCTTGCTTTCTCAGAAAACCTACTTCCTCCTTCAGCCATCTAGCTCTTGATATACATTAATTTTTCTTTAAGCCTTTTCAGCCGTGGTCGACTTTCGCCCCTCCTGTTTGATTGGCAATTGCAGTCAACCTGGGGAATACTGACCCTCGATTGTGAATGAGAAAAGTGTCGCTATTCGCATTGTTGTTACTCGTGAGGTTGGAAGTATGCAATCAAATGTTCACTAGATCTGAAGATTGTGTCGTTATTTGCGAGTTGTTTTGTAAACCCGAGGTAGATTATTCACAAGGTTGATTGTACATGCTATGGGATGTACAATAACTAACCAAACAATAATGGTGTAACAATGATTTGAGTCCATATCCAATTGGATGAACCTAGAGTGCATGATCCATTCCAGAAAGGCGACTTCAGTGAGTCTTGAATTGTCAGCAGCATCATACTTCCATCGAGCTTTTTTTCTTTTTCGAAACGACCCTCTCTTTTCAATTCGAACGAAGGTCAACATACGATTATGGCAGGCATGCACGCACTGATCTTCACTGTATACATGTGCATGTATACTGTACTGTAGTCTGTGCAGTCAACTAGTCGTGTTCCACTTGGCTTACGGTAAGTATCACTACAAGTGCATAGTAGCCCCCCCCCCCCCCCCCCCACCCCGGGGAGTGCGCGTGAACGGCAACTGTGAACTGGTAAAAGAATTATTCGACACCTTCGTTCGTTTCGATGGAGAAGGCTCATCTGGCAAATTGAGGCCTTCGTTTCACTCCTAGCCCCAGGAGCGAAATTTTCACTCCTTGGCTGCCTGTTTGAGCCGTCCTTGTGGAAGGGTTGATTTATGCATGCCCGCATATACATGTAGACCTTATTCAATAAACGTCACAATCACGTGAACCAGGGTCCCGGGAACCAGGGAGCGGCAAGAGACCTGCACTCAGTGCACAGTGGACTCGGCGTGGGAACATAGGAGTAGAAAAATACCGGTATTTTACTACTCCCTTGTACGAACTGGGCCTTTCTTGCCACTCGTTTCACGTACGCGTGCCCCAGCTTACAACAAATCCCTGGAGGCGAGTCCAAAAATCACGTTATCGAATAAGGTCTATAGAAACACAGATCACGTAGAACTACCCCATCCGGGGTCACAACTCACAACGTTTTGGGTACTTAGGTCTCATGTCGTCTCCCCAGGTGCTATGAATCCCTGATGCACATGTATCTACATATACAATGTAACCGTAACTCTACCAATATTGCGGACGATGACCCTCCCCCCCCCCCCCCCCGGCAAACAGAAAGTCGCTATGTCCTGGCCGAGTTTATCTTTTAATTAAATGGTTTTCTCGGTTGGGATTTCATACCTGACAACCATCCCGATTTGGCCGGGACCGTCCCGATATCGAGGGCGGTAATAGGCACCCAAAAGTGCACTAGTTCCATGCCTCACCGCGAGCTTCTTTTGTATACATTTTCATGCCTAGGTATGTCATTGGATCTCAGGTTTGCAAAGGTTGGCAGGTATGGGATTTGTAGAGTGACCAGTTTTGACTATTGCCACCTGCTGTGCAGAAGTGTCATTCCTACATCCTGGCTGCAAACGTACCCCCCCCCCCCCCCCCCCCACACACACACACCACCACCAACAATGTTCGATCCTATTTACAGGACCTCACTCTATATGAAAGTGTAGCAGAGGCACTGCCAAAGTATAAAAAACAGCAATTGAAATGCAAGCTGCATTGTGCATGCATGGAGGGCATGGGGAAGAGACTGAGAGGGTGAAAGTGAAGGAAATTTGTTCCGAAATCAAGAGAATCCGAGGAACCCTTGCTGCATTCTTCAGTTCGATAACGTCAGTGGGTGAATCTCAGATGTGTTGTGTGCCCAGACATACAAGTACAGCACTAACCTGAGCATGAGAGCTGCTTGTCATCATCGTGGTCAGGAAAACGAAAGGACGAACGAGGAAGATTGCTGACCATGCATGACGAACAACTGCATATCTAGACGACAGACGGCTTGCCAGAATCAGTCTGGTGTATCTTCAGGAATCTTCTTTCCTAATCGCATTCAGCAGTCAGCTTCGAGGTCAAGAACGCGATGATATTTTCAGAAGGAATAATTTTCAAAAATTTTAAATTTTGGAGAAGAAGCTTCCTTTCAAAAAAAAAAGCGTTCCTTGCTTTCACGCAAGGAGGTGCCTTGCCGGACATGTCGTCGACAGCACAGTGTCGGCAGATCCACGTTTGTAGGCTGCAGACCCGGCAGACGTTTTGATCATCCCGGCCTGGTGGTGAGATTTTGGACCCGGGAGTACTAAAAAGCTGCTCGCATCCCAGGGTGCTCAGTTTCGCTCTACCCGCGCGAGTAGGGGTCCAGGTAACGGGCTCTCTTTCGCGGCCTGCCGAGCATAATATACCTCCGTTGATACAGTCATGTACGTCTGGTTTACAACAAACGAGTTCTTCCTCGTATCGATAATGGAGTCAGAGAGGACATGTCGAAACGAAAGTGTTGTAAATGTTGACGAGCGGCATGTGTCCCAATTCGTTTTGTGACCAAAATAGTTTCTTTGAGCTGCGATGCAATTTACTCACCGTGTGACGAAAACGACATCGACACGGACTCATTCCCAAGGCCATGACTTGGCAAAGCTATCCATGTGACTTCGACGACATTTTGAGAAAAGCAGACGCTTGTGAACGCTGATAGAAGACGGCGTTGACTGCTAAATTCAAATAAATTGGCGATCTTGAAACTAAAATAAATCTCAAAAAGCTACAGCGCGATGACTTCCATATTCACTCACACCATTGCAGTGTTGTGGGTGTGTTCACATGGCGTGAGCCAGTCAAGTGTCAGTCAGTTCGGCAGGAAGCGCGAGCTTCAACAACAAGTCGTTTGGTGCAGCCATCTTCTTTGTCTTGCAATGATCACCAAAACAATGAAAAAAAAGTTTGACTTGAGGATAGGTTGGGATTTGAACTCACAACTTCGTGGTCAGCAGACAGCATTCATAACCACAAGGCCAAAAAGGAAAGGATAAATCGTGGGTTTTGATAAGAAAATCGATACTGGCTTCCAGGGCAAATGGTAAACCATGGGAAAAGGCCGGAAACCTGGCCGAAATTCTAACTCCTTAACGGCTGGTCCAATTGGTCCGAAACCTTCACAGAACAATTTGCCGTGTCCTAACAAGCCATTCTATGTACTTTGTTGTCCAAATTTCCGTTATCTTCATACTTTTTAAGACCCAAACCTGATTGTAAATCTTTTTGAAACAGACTATAGACCCGGATCCTCACAACTCAGACTCAGAGTCAAGACACGTAGATCTACGTAGATCTACTACCATGACTACAGTACCAGCAGCTCAGAGTCAGGGAGCCCTACACATATGACCGAGGCAAGAGTACATAAACCTTTTTTTTGGTTTATGTACTCTTGATATGACCAGAGGCAGAGTGTGCAGTGTGGTTGAAGCCAGGGAGTAGTAAAATACACTACTCCCTGGTTGAAGCCGATCGATCCTGTACAAATTTTGCAAAGAAAAACGTGTGATGCGTTGACACTCGTACACATGTTGTAAATCACTGGTGCAAGGAGCATTGCGTCATAAATAATGACGTCAACTTGAAATTCTGTCGGCCGGGACAGCGATCACAGCAGGGTATCATCAGGGAGTCGTCAAGGTATTTGACGACTCCCTGGCCTGCTGGGTATCATCAAGAGTACATAAACCGTTTTATGTACTCTTGGTATCATGGTATGTGGGAGTTGCACACTCTGGGGGGTTATGTACTGTAAAAGCAGAAATTTTCGGTGGTGTTTTATTTTCGGTAACTTCGGTGCTGACAATTTTTACCGAAAATAAAACGCACCGAAAGTTTCGGTACAACCGATACTAGACTGTATACATGTAGTACTAGCACCCTTACCTGGAGAACGGGTTAAATCTCCCTCTACCGAACCGCATATTTTGGAGAATACCGAAAATATTACACCGCCGAAAAGTTCTGCTTTTACAGTACTCTTGATATGACTCGACTGTACTCGTGACGTGTGTGTGTAATTGTTGACCACATGCAACTGTATGACGTGGCTAGTCTGTACTACAATTTTTACACGTATACTCAAGAGTTCATAACCCCCATGAACTCTTGGTATACTCAAGAGTCCATAACCCCCTCGGCTCTGGTATACTGTATAGAGGACTTTCCATTACATCACCTTTTTGGCGCCTTCCCGGTGTCCACCCAAAGATCACCCATAAGACAAGCCCGTGTCCTACGGTAAAATGTGCTTGGGTGGCAAAAAGAGAATCAAATGTGTTGTTCGGTGTACGGTTGGAAATGATGTTGCAGGCCGTCGCAGTGGTGAAGCACTTTTGCTTTTCTTTGATGTGGTGAATAGTTTCGGTAAGTCGCGAGGATTACTAGCCGTAGTTACTCTACTGTTTATTCCAGCCTTGAAGAGGCGTTGCCGCGAGAAGATTGACAGAATCCGTGGGCCCAGTACATTGATCCGTATTTACCTATGGACGAAGACCTTTCAGCCAATCCCCCTGCGTTGGGTATCCAGGCCTCTCTAAATATTTAGTGAATGTCCCCAGCACATATGCAAAGGACTCTCTAAAGTCTTACAATAGCCCTGATGGATACAAGTGCATGTGTCTCATTGCTGGCTGGGTTGGCACATTATCGTGTCTTGCCCAATAGACCCTTTGCGCAATAAGCGAGAGGGGTCGAGACGGGGCATGCTGTGCGCGCGCTGCACACTTGGCATGCAACCAGCATGCATGGTTTGCTGCAGGACGTGATCAAGTTTCCTGTGACAGGCTAGGTTTTCACGGTCCCGACGCGATGTTCATGTATGTACTCCCCAGCCTTTTTTCATTTGAAGTTTTTTTAGTTCTGAAGGAAGAAGTTCCGAAATGCTTTCCAAGGACTGCTGTTGGGTTCTTGTTTGGAGCAACCGTCATCCCTTGTCTAAGAAACCCACTTGTTTTTCCAGGCGTTCCCTAGTGATGCTGGCATTCTACTCTCTTGAATCCTGGCTATCTGGCGAGAAGGGCAGCAGTTTGCTGCGACATCGTTCACAGTCACGGTTTTGCTCGGAACACTTTGTCGATGAAGACAGTCACTTTCATCGTTTTGCGAAGACGCGGAACGTCCTGCCAAGAGACTCTGGAGCTTGAGAGAAAGGCATGACCCATCCCTGTCTTCGCTATTCAAGGAAGATCGACTGCTTGCTGGCGCTGCTCGAGCTGCTGATGTTGAAGTGCAGAGAGACGCAGCCTCATCGCTCAGGCGTGCAGAGAAGGCCATCTGAGTTCGAGCTGTGGCTGTGTGCACGATATGACAGACTTTCACGTTATGCACATAGCCACCAAAGTAAAACTCATGGACACTATCCACGGGCTTCTTCACTAGTACTACTCCATCAGCTCCCTAGCCCTCTTCACTGTCGTCGGCGACTTGCCCCTGCGTTGGAGATGAGCAAGCCTGGTGTGGCACTCACTCTGGGAAACAGAGGTTCATCAATCCGATCGAGTCATCCACTGGGACGCATGAAATGTTGGGCACGACGACTGTACACTCGAGGAAGTGGTGCCCTTCTTAGTTCTAGGAGCATCAGGGTTCTGCATAGAGAAGTGTTCTCTACATCGACAGAGAAGAGAAGGTAGAGAAAATAAAAATAAATTTCAATCTACAGTAATCCGAAATATCCACTGACTGCGGAAAACTTACCGCTCCAACAACTCCTTCTTTTTCCAGACAGATACGCACCCTCATTCAGCAGAAAACTGTTCAGTTCCTTCACAGGCCATTCTTCATTTGACAGTTCGTCCACGGGTGCCACAGCCATCGATGGCAAACCACTCGACACTCTCTCCTCCATCTCCAAAATGGAAAAATACAGTGTTTCACCATGCTCAACAACGGATACTCTGCACAAAAATCGAAGAGGATGCCCCGTCTCGGATCACGTGACCGTTATTGTGCAAAGGGTGGAAACAACAACTGTCAACAAAATACGTTTGCAAACGCCAGGCACTCGCGGAGTGTTTTTGCCGAACCTGTCCATCCTCGGGTAGCTGCTGAATTACCTGGAATTGTTCTTGGCGCACACTGCACTTGCATGGTGGGCCTGGGAGAAGCATATTCCCATGTTGCTGCAGTGCAGTGTTGTTTTGACTGAATTTACGTTGGAGACTGAAATGTGATGTGTGCTGAATGTCAACACCTACACCACTGGGTCACTCACCAGTGGCTGGCACCGTCACTGAACACTACACGAAAATAGTGTACATGGATTTTACTTCAGCTGGGCAGAAATTGGAGCACCGTGCCCATAACCTACAAGTAGTCTCACTTCTCTTCCGCTGCCTGACTCTCTCTCTCTCTGTGTCTCTCTTGCTTTGCATGCCTGTCAGTGTATCCATGTGTGTGTGTGTGTGTGTGTGTGGGTGCGCGTGCGTGTGTGGGTTTTTCTTCCTTATCAGTACGAGTATGACAATGTTGACATGCGGTGGCTGGTAGCACGAAAACTGACGAAGTCAAACACGGCCATCATCATCATTGCTCCTATGTAGCCAAAAAGTTGGTGTAGTGGCGAACTCAGTTGTCCTGATCTTAAAACACGCTGATGAATGCACATCCAATACAGCAATTGTTTTTTCCTGGTCGTCCCTCGACCTGGCATTCTCCATAAGCAGTTGCTGATTACCGGTAGAGTGTCCTCCATTACTGTCTTTGCAAGAGTTACACAAGAAGTAAGATCAAGATGATCCTCACCACAAGAAGATCAAGAAGCTGAATACATGTACCTAATTGTCCAGAAAGACAGAATATGAGGTATACTAGTATGTGCCGCAGCAGATGAAGAACTGCACAGCGCAGCAACCAAGTGGGAAGCAGAAGAAGATTGCGCAAGTAGGTCGATCAGAGTATTTATCCATGACAAAGGAAATAATATACGTTGTGCAGAACATGAGGCATACACACTGGCATGGAAGAGATGATGAGTTGCACCCAGGGCCAGTACTAGAATAGCTAGCACCACCAGTCATGTAGAGGTACGTGCATAGAGCTGGGTACATTAGTCATTACCATCAGCATCAGCCCTATCAATCATCAAACTCCAGCTATACCTTGCACCCCAACAAACTAAGTAAGTTGATAGTGTTCGGAATCATCTTCGTGTTTCCGCCTTTACTGGTGCTGCCACAAATGAGCTGAACAAGTTGGTTAGTTAGTTCGATACGTACTGGGGTGACAGGGGATGATCATGACTTTTCTCTTCGCCAACGAAGCGATGGAACAATATTCGTGTACTTCGAAGTATTTGCATCAGGAGCGAAGTTCTCGAGTCGTGTGTCCGTCATCCACTGGTTCAGTCGTTCTCCATCGTAGGGAAAACGATAACAACTCAAAGACGATCCAGGTGTGGGAACATCCGATCGCGAGCAGCCCTTTGGTATTCTCAAACTACAGTATGCAAAATGGAACTGCTTTCGAAAAACACTGTTTCCTTCCAGTGCAGTCTTCTTTTTTTGCCACCCAAGCTCCGTTTCAAGTCCGGTGTCGCGGTGATCGGTGGTGAACTCGATGATCTTTGGCCCGAATCCTCATAGGCCGCACGGTATGACTCATTGGAAAGTCCTCTATACTGTGAACCAGGGAGTCGGTATTTTACGACTCCCTGCTGTGAACTGCATGCATGACTGGTGGCACTGGTGCAGGCACACCTGATGCCTGCTTTTCTAGTACATACCGCGCGCGTGTGTCTTATCTTGTATTTTTGCCAAAGAAATGTTTTGAAGGTGTTGTCGTTTTATGATGTTCTTAGTGCAGGAACTATACTCCCAACTCATGTGTCCTTTCTTGTTGCTGTGAGGAATTGGAGCCAGTGCGATCCGTTCGGCTGACGGGACATGGCTACTTCCATGCACTATGGCCCGGCGAATGGTGACAGGCGCTTTACGGGTATGTGATATTCCCTAAGTAAAGGCGTAAACTACAATCATCATGATGACTTTGCCCGAATTATGTGAATTAGGGCATAGCGTCTTAGTGTTATGTTTTCTCGTCGTGCGGAGATTCCATGAGGTCAACACGGACCAGAATGGGCGAAAGCGTAGCCAGACTCGGCTGGAATAAATTGATCATGTTTTCCGCCGAAGTGTGGTGGTTTATGATCGTTGCCGAGCTAAGCATGAGTGTTGTGAAGCTTACACAATTTGAAGGAATTGAAGATCGTTGGAAAGTTGAACTAGTGGTGAAACAAATGTCAAAACCTAGTATTAAACCGAATATTCTTTGGCTTATCGAACGAACGTACGAATATTCTTTAATTTCTTTTGGTAACAGAGATGCCATCACATGCCCTCCTCTCAGTCATTTGATGGATATTGTCATTATTATTAGGTATGACAAACGGTAGTGCCACATCAAATGCACTGCCACGTAAGGCTACTTCGAAGTTCATACAATATGTGCAACATTGGCAGTCCAGTATGCACATGCATGAGAAAACATGGAGCACAAAGTCACAGGCAGGCTGTACGCACTGCACTGTATTGTGTTCGGCGTGCTTGTATACATGCACTGCATTCGAAGTGATGTAACGGATACTCGAATGGGACTTAAAGAATATTCGAATGTGACAAACCGAACGGATATTCGAATATTCGTTTCACCACTATAATGGAAACGTTGGAAAAATGAGTCACTCGACCAACTTTCCAGGCTGTAACTCACTGAAGACTGTAAATGACTACCGAAACCTCTTTCGGTTTCAGTATAATAAATATTATTGAAATTAGAATGGGATGAACTTCAAATTCAAGGGAAACGGTCAGGGAGGCGAACTGCCAGAAAAGCGAATTTTGGCCACGCAGTGCCTTTCTGGGTTCGGCCTTGTCCCATAGCTAGCTCAGTTGAGCATTGTTCATGACAAGCAAGGTCCGAGTCCTGGTGCATGGTGGGGTTGGTATTTTTTAGGGCTGAGTCGGGTAGCATTTTCTTCCGGCATCGGGTTCGGGTAGTTTTCCACGGGTAGCACGGGTACCCGATTGCAAGAGTACATGAAAACCAGAGTGTGCAGCTCGAATGGGTTGCTGTCACGGCGAAATTCCGTGATTACATCATTTTAGTGATATAGTGCGTACAAGCAGGTCTCTTTCTGCACAACTGCAGCTCAGTTGTACGCACTACGCCATTTCCCGCCTCAGATCTGCACCAAAATGATGTAATCACGGAATTCCGCTGTGACAGACACCCATATCAGAGAAGCCCCCAAGCTGCACACTCTGGTTTTCATGTACTCTTGCCGATTGGGTAATGTTTCCCTGGTAACACCACAACGCACCCCTTCCCTTACACACTGGGTAGACATGCGGAGTAGTACATGAATTTGTACATGTGCACTGTACAGGATGTCGTCTGCGACTTCGGGTACTATTCTGTACCTGTTTACTCGAGGTCCTCACGGGTAGCACGGGTACCCGACTACCCGTGCACACCACTAGTATTTTCCGCTTTCTGGCTTTTTTGTACACAACACGAGAAAAAATTTGGACTCGTCTTTACCAAGAGTAGATGAGCAAGAGTGTGCAACTCCGCATCTCTTCCGCACAATCGGCAGATACGATACCCCGGCCCACGGCGGAATTTTTTTGTTGAAGTCACCTTTTTTCACAAAACGAGACGTATGTTGTATACCGGGCACGCGCATTTTGCCGCAGAGCAGTGTGAGAGCACATGCTGGGCACTGGCCTTGTCTGTCCCCCTGGAAAATCACGGGACTAAATTCAGAAATTTGCGCAAGAAATTGCGGGCGAAAAGAGTGAAAAACGTGGGCCAGATATAGTAAATTTGCGGAAAATGCTGTATCTTGCAACGATAGTTATGGACCACAAAAGCGTGAAAGGATGATGTAGCAAGGAATTTCGAAGCGCGAAGAACAGTGCGGTGTAAAACTTCGTCCCTGGGGACAAAGGTTCACAGCCACGCGCTTCGCATACACCAAGTCCACGTAGCTAAGCTCACAGAACACACCAAGCATGAAAGTCTGTACAGGGTGGGTCATGGCATGGGCTCACGGATTCACTGAAAATTGAGGCAAAATGAAGAAAATTGCACGTTTTCCGCGGAAAATGCTAGATTCGCGGAAAATCACGGAATTTGTCGCAGGCACGGAATCGCGATTTTCCAAGGAGATAGCCTTGTAATTTAGTAAAGCCCGGCCGAGTGCACGAGGCAAAACTTCCCAAAAAACTCGCAGCTCGTGCGTTGTACGGCATGAGTCGCATGACTCTGATTTTCAGAAAACATTACGGCAACAAAAAATTCCACCGTGGGCCAACCCATCCACGAGTTGCACAATCTTGTTCATCTACTCTTGTCTTTACTCATTAATTGAGGGATTGGAAAAGTTAATCTTCTTTACGGTTTCCTTTCTTCAAATCGCTCAACCGAGTATTGTCACTTCTCCTCGTCTCGTGCTTTGCGGTCTGATTTGCGATTCCTTGGTGAAAATGGAACCCGCTATTACTGATGCTATCAGCGAGGCTGTTTCCCCGGGCGATTGCCCCGTTCTCTGCTCGATTGGATCACTTCAAGGAGTGCTTCCAGGAGCTCTACACTAATGGTCATTGGCAGTTTGGACCAGATGCTTAAGTTTGTGTACAAAAATGACTTTAAAAATTTCACGGTTCGCGTGAGACTCGGCCAAAGGCCCAGTTTTCCGCATCCGCAGGAACGCCACCACCCTCTTGGATCAAGGCGCAGATGCAGCTCCTAAGCGGTGGGAGGTGAGTAGATCAGACCCACCACAAAGTGGTCAAAGACCGAAATCCCATTCACTGCATCCATGTTTCCCTCGTGCCAGGCCACGAGTTCCCAATTAACTGTGGGTCGCAGCACGGCTGGAAAAAATCCTTCCGCTTTCAAGCAGGACTTGAACCTAGTACCCTCTGTTTCTCAATCATGGTCTTAGACCATCCCACTATGCCTGTCTTTTAAAATTGACAAAAAATATTGCGACAGAGCTTTCGGCAGAGCATCTGCGCCTTGATCCTAGAGGGTGGTGGCGTTCCCGCGGCGGATGCGGAAAACTCGGCTTCCAGCCGAGTCTCACGCGATCCGTGAACTTTATTTTATTTATTTTTCGGCCCTACTCCAATTTTTCATCCTCAACCCGTCACCACCATGCGCTCTTTACCGAACCAAAGCACGAAGCATAACACAGCAAGGACACTTCCATTAACAGATAATTTGTTAAGTCTCTAGACAGCTGTTTCGCTCCTTTCAGCTCATCAGTAGAGGATGGTAATGATTTTTTTCTTGCAAATAATGATTTTATTCTTGCAAGCAACACAAGCCTCTTGTACAGGCAAACAGAATACAATTCATGGTGCAATGGTGAAGGATTAGAACACAACACCAAAAAATGAAAACAATTGTATCCTAAGCAGTGCCATTTGGTAGAGGAAAGAGTCGAAACTCCCTAATCCGCTTTTGACATACAAAATCAATGTAAAAAACTGAAAAACTAAAAAACTAAAACATGCCGGGAAAATACATGGGCACTGGATAATAATGATGACAATGGAGTGTAAAGGAATGATCATTCTTATAGTTATACAGCAGAAATGGCGCAAGGGTGCGCTTTCCGCATAGAAATTTTGGCATATGCAAGTTGCTAAGTGTGAGAATAGTGGGAAGAGCTATTGTACGCGCCAATTGGTAGAGGCGTAAAGAAATTATCAGTCAACGGAAGTGTCCTTGCTGTGCTGGTATATTATGCTTCGTGCTTTGCTTCAGCTAAGGGCCAGGTTCCACTGGGGCTCCCCTGCTCGTCATCCGCGGCTTGAAACGTCATCATTACCATAGTGACCGCGGCTCGAGGTGGAGCAGCGAGGCCGCGGCTCACCGCAAGCTTTCCTACGATTCTTGATCCAAAACTGCGAGTCGCGGTCGCGGCTTGACCTGTCTCCCGTACTTTGCATTGTTTTGTACGCGAGAATTTTGAAATTCAAATTTTATTTCGTTGCGAAGGCCAGAACATGAGGATTTTTTTATTTCCCGCGTGCGCGCGCAGGCAGGTAAAACATCATCGAAAAACGTGGAGCACGACCGCGGTACCGCGGATGGCGAGAGTCAGTGGAACCGCGCTGCTCCGCTGCATTCAGCCAAGTGCCGCGGAGCCGCAGTGGAACCAGGCCCTAAGAGTGCATGGTGGGGACGGGTTGAGGATGTAAATTTTAAAATTGGTCGACTTTAATGTACTCTTGATGGATTTGAAGGCAATTCGCTGTTATATTTCGCTCTACGCTTCTCACACAGCCCCCACTTCATGGCACTATGTACCATTGCTAATGAAAGGCTGAACTAACTTGAATTAAACAGGCGGCGTGGAGACAAGAAACCTAATATCGATAGAAATAAAGTGAACACATTCATACCACGACACCAGAAGAACAATATGAAGGGATTTTAACGTCGTTCTCATGTGACAATCATCAGAAATCTTCGTCACACTGAGAGTTGCACTAGGAGAAAAGAAAAAAAATGTATGGCCATAAAGTGAATAGTATTGGATCTAGAACTACCACGAGAAACACTGAAATCCTAAAAATAGCACTATTGAAGGTGTGATTGAGGCAAGAATTTGTAGCAGCTCTTACACTCTCTCACTTAGCATTATTACCCACATGCTCATATCCATAGCATTCTCACCTGCACCTCTCCACTCCACACATGCTTATTCACTTAATTGCCATAATATATTTCCTTTTCTACTATAGTCCATTTCAAAACTATAGACGCGTAGGGCTTTTGAAATATTTCAAATTTGGCTGGAACTTTTTGAGAATAGTTTTCGGAATATTGCTCAGGTCCGCTCCACAATTACTCTCATATAGTTTCTAAACGATTGGATAACAGACGCCCAATTTGGAAAAAATTATGCACAAAGTGATCACAGATTTTATGTGGTATAGATGCTGGCATAACGGTTTTTGCCTAGGTACGCGTCTATAGTTTTGAAATGGACTGTAGTCCAACTCTCAGTGTGACGAAGATTTCTGATGATTGTCACATGAAAACGACGTTAAAATCCCTTCATATTGTTCTTCTGGTGTCTAATATCATTAGACTGGGATGGAGAGGCAAAGATTAAAGTATTTATAGAAAGGACTTCTTGGTCGCGAGGTCCATCGGTTGTGGCAAGTTGAGACTCAGATTGTTCCTGTATGCGTGTGTGTGTATGTATGTGTGTGTGTGTGTTTATTGTCTTAAAACAGCCTGCCCACTACCACCAGGTCGTACTCACACAGCATTTCTTGTTCATGCGTCCGCTGACACGACATGGGTCGTGGGGAAGCTTGTACCGCAGGTCAGTCTCGTAGTGCTCTCATGTCTGCTGTGAGCTCATCGCACATAACGGGCAGAGCAAAGTATCAGCTTTGGGTCTGTGTTCCTATTCCTTAAGGCCCTGCATATGTGCAGTCTGGATCGCAGCCACGCTGAGGCTGGTATGATTCATGCAACTGCTCCATGCCATACTGCACATGAAATACTAGTGCGTGGGATGACGGTGCTGTGATGCATGACACAATTAATAGAAATGGTGTAGACAACAAAAAACTGATAATACAAAAGCAAGTGGTTTGAATTGTTTCTGTGCCCAACGCATTCCCACCATCAGGGTAAAAGCTAAAAATTAACAAGTTGCCGGAGGATAATACGATCCCCCCTCCTCCTTCAGCCTGTTTATTTTGATTATGAAGTTGTTGCAATATGTGCCAAGTCACCTATCTATCATAATGTCTATTGCGTTCATTTGTTGCTGCTTTGGTTCTCACTGTCTGGTGTGTCCGTGTTTGTGCATGCGTGTCCATGTGTGTGTGTGTGTGTGTGTGTGTGTGTGTGTGTGTGTGTGTGTGTGTGTGTGTGTGTGTGTGTGTGTACATGTGTGTGCACGTGTGTACATGTGTGTACATGTGTGTACATGTGTGTACATGTGTGTACATGTGTGTGCATGTGTGTGCATGTGTGTGTGTGTGTGTGTGTGTGTGTGTGTGTGTGTGTGTGTGTGTGTGTGTGTGCGTGTGTGTGCATGCGTGTGCATGCGTGTGTGTGTGTGGTGGTGGTAGTGGTGTGTGTGTGCATGTGTGTGCATGCATGTGTGTGCATGTGCATGTGTGTGCATGCATGTGTGTGTGTGTGTGCATGTGCATGTGTGTGTGTGTGTGTGTGTGCATGTGTGTGCATGTGTGTGCATGCATGTGTGTGCATGCATGTGCATGTGTGTGCATGTACATGTGTGTGTGTCCATGTTTGTGTGCACGGTGTGTTCTTTTCTTCTGTTTGTGGTGTGTCTGCGTGGCCAGCTGGAGGAGCGTGGTCTGCGCGTGTTCTTGATGCACCGTGACCGTGATCCGAGCTGGAGTGACGACCGCAACCTTGACCATGCGCTGATGTGCAGTAGCGTGGTAGTGCCCATCATCACGCCCTACTTCCTCAGCAGTCGCACCTGCAGCATTGTCAGCCATCATGCCCGGCAGAAACACGCACAGGGCCGGGTTTGTCTCGCGACAGTCAAGCTGGCTAAGTGCGACACACCCGAGCCTTTGCGTGGTCTGCCGAAGCTGAACTTGTTTGAAGATAAAGTGCGACCTTTCTTCTTCGACCTCCTGTACCAAATGATCAGTAAGTCAAGCGAAAAGAATGCCCATGCTGGGCAAGTGCTACCGACTTTGGGCATGAGCTTATGCGCCGATCGAGATATGCATCGATAGAAGCACAGCACAGACTGCTAATACATCTGTACATTTAATTTAGCCCGCAAAGAATGAAAGTGAACTATAAGGAGTATTAAAAACGACTCAAGTAAGCCCGCGGGCTGTACACTGACCATACGATTTTCCTCTCCCTGGCTAAAATCAAGGTGGGGCGCTCTCGCGTTACTTTACGGTATACCGTAAAAGCCCGTGTATAGGCCCCAGGCGTATAGAATAGCAGCGTCGATTTCCTGGGCGTATACAAGGGCACGGGCGTTATTTTGGAACCGGGCGTATACTTGGAATAGGGATAGCAGTAAGTATTGGGTGTCAGTACCTGTACATGCACTGGTGTTGCCGGTATACCTGGGCGTATAAGTACATGGGCATGGACGCTATTTTGAAACAAAAGTTTTGACTTCCCCTGACCGGGCATGTACACGGAGGGTGGGCGTAATTTCGAGTGGGCGTATACGGGGGCTTTTACGGTATGAGTTTTCCCTGATGATTGCGCAAGCGTGAAACTCAAGTCGCAACAAGAAAACTTTGTTCCACCTTTTTATCGGGACGCTCTTCCCTTTAGGGTAGTATTGAGTGCTGTGTGAGCAGAAGGCTAGCCCTACTGTGTGATGTAGTATACAATCGGTTGCTGGTTGTGCTATAGATTGGAAGGCTAATTTCTGTGTACGAACTAGGGTGTGTTTGGTTGGTATGATCTAGAATAAGATCATCAAACAGCTGGTGCACATGGAGCAGCCTCATGTCAGCCAAACGGTACTCCAGAAACAGAGCACTTTTTTTGTGAAAAGTGTGCCAAACTTGGTGCATTCTTCATAATGTGTGTGGGTCACCATTGTCACTTTGTACGGTACAACGAGTCCAACCCAAAAGCGCATGCACGTGATCATTTGGGACCAAAGTCGATGTTCCCGCCAGGTTTCACTGTGAAAAAGTGAAACTGCTCGGTCTACTCCGGCCTCAAGCCGGAGCAAGCAGAACATGTTCTGGCCGACCCAGAACAGGTGCAGTCCCAACCAAACGCGCCCTAAGATGTTGCGACATCGGCCTTAAATTGGCGAAGAAACTAATTTCTGTGTGTTTGTGTATTATCGTGTTTGCATTTGTGTGTGCATCTGTGTATATGTGTGGGTGTGGGTATTTACCCGTGCGTATGTGTATGCACGTGCATATGTGCATGTGCCGATTGTTTTGACCTACAGAGGATGGATGTGAACACCTGAGTGGACGAACATGCAGAGACTATGATGATTCGCCTAATGCCAAGCGGCCTTACCTGGTTTCGCCGCCCTCGATTGACTCCAACGCAAGTCAGCATTCATCGCCATACGAGCTTAGCTCGCCAATCGGTGGAATTCAGGGTTTCCAGTCTAATGAGGACTCTCCATTGGAAGGTGGAGTTGAGCAGCAGTCTCCAGATGCTCAGCAGGCGCAAGCACAACAAGATGTCCAATGCATGCCAGCTGAGGCAGATCCCACTGCTTCTGCTGCTGCTAGGGGCTTTACGTCGCCAGTTGTCGACCCTGGATTTGTAGTTTGCAAGCTGTCATCGGCCAGTGCTGACAGCCACATATCGCATGCTGAGTCATCGTGCCTGCCCGATACGCCTACTTCACCCCGCACCCATGCCGACGATCAGCCAGTGCATCTGTGCGGTGAACAGCTCTGCGGCGCTGGTTCATCGCCCCTGTCCAGTCCCCAACATCAGCAAGCGTCGACTTCGCCAAGTGGTCGACAACGGCGCCCTTCTGAGAGTGTCGGCGAGACCAGTGAAGTGCGCGAGCTGTGTGACGATGCTCCGTTCGATCGCCTTTCTCCACGTCCAGCTGGTAACTACTCTGATGGTGATTCTTCACCAACGCCCTGGCTGGATGACACTGACGACGATGAAAATGCCAACCCTAAGCGTGACTATGGCCTGCCTGATTTCCGTTACGGTTCTCCAACCTATGATGAGTATCATGGCTTTAGTGCCTCGCCACCGACACATCAGCAGGAGCAACGCCCGTCCGATAATAGCAACCAAAGAAGTAGCCATGGCGATTGTGGTGCTACGGACGGCGGCAACGGGGCTGCAGGCCGGAGCAATGGGCTGCGCTTCACACCACCGACTGATCGGCCTCACCCAGTTAGAAAGGAGAGATCGTTGAGTCGGCACAGCAGTGGTGAGATCGATGATGAAGAGGAGGAGGGAGAGTACCGCGATGACTCTCAGGCCTCCCAGGCTACTCAACCGGTAGGTTAAAACAAAAGTCAGTATTGTGCATTTGTGAAGTAGGCATGCATTAGCTTTTCTGTGTGAGCGTGTATATGTGTGCGTTGGATGTGTTTATTCTGTTGAACACTTCCCATTCCTAATACTAGTACGTGTTGCTTGTACATCTCTATGCTTACTTGACTCTACCTCTAGGAAAACACGGCAGGTAACGCAGCGACGATCAAGAACTTTTACAACCAGCTGCCGGAGGCGGGAAAGGGGGCGCGCTACAGCAGCCCAATCTTTCACATGCGCAACATCAACAACTGGATCAAAAGCATCCTGATCAAGAAGTCAGTGTCGCTGGTGCCGGGCTCTAGCAAAGGCATGCACGTGCTGGACCTGTGCTGTGGCAAGGGTGGCGATCTGTTGAAGTGGAAGGAAGGTCGCGTCGGACATCTGGTTGGCGCAGGTTAGTTCTATGAAGGACGCACTGAGCAGACACCTACCTGTGCAACACCCACCGGCGAATCATTGACTCACTCTTTCAAAGAGAAACATGCTTGTTTTCCTACCTATTCGGAATACAACAAACTAGTGAAGGTTTTCTACCTAGATGTACACCGGTTTTGGTTTTAATTTTCAATGGGCTGTTTCTGCTTTCCCTGCAGCTATAACAATAGTTATTAGCAAGAGTCCATAAACAAGAGTATGCAACTGTGATCTCTTTTCTACTGGTCAGATGCGCTGCGCGCTGCCATCATTAAATCATTCAGCTGCAGTGCGTGCACTGCGGAAAATCAAGCACCACACTTTCCCTCTGGTTTGAAATGAACGTTCGTACGGAACTGGAGTTCACGCGTCAACATTTAGAGATCGCGTAGGTACTGGAACGAATCGAGCAAAAACGGATAGGCTTGTACGATAAATTGTGGGGTTGAGTGCATGCTTTCAGAGTGTGATGGAGGCAAGTGACGTAATGAAGGCAGCCCGCCACACACTGACCCATAACCACAGTTGCATACTCTTGTTTATGCACTCTTGTTATTAGTTATTTGCTATGTGGGAATTTGTCCAGAGCTAGTGGTGGTGTAACGTTGTGTGTATGCGTGTGTGTGTGTGCGCGTGTGCGTGTGTGTGCGTGTGTGTGTGTGTGTGTGTGTGTGTGTGTGTGTGTGTGCATGCTACCTGTTAACTTGCTAGACATCGCTGATCATTCCATACAGCAGTGCCGACAACGCGCCGGGGAGCACAAGCTGCCGTTCAAGACCGAATTCCACACCGTCGACTGCACTCGAGTAAGCGGTGATGTGCTCTTCTCTAAAAAACCGTGTGTCAACGCATTTCCTGAAATCACTTAGTGACTGCCAACGTCTGCCCATGGCCAACACTAGCTTGTAGCAGCACTACATCCGGTGATGTTCCAAAACAGGCTTTGATGATATCTCTGCTCTTGCACTCGGGAACACTTCCTTTTTCCGTCTCACGACCACCGGGCTGGCATTTATGAATTGAAAAAGAGTGCCAGTATTTAGCCACATTGGGCATCATCAGGGCGATAACATTGAACGACACTGACGAACGGTACTGACGTTCTAC